AATTTTGAAAATTTACCGCCTGGTAAATTTTAAAAATTTTTTTCACATTTTTTTTTCTTTTCTTTTTTTTTTGATTTTTTAAAGGAAAATTTACCGTTCTCTAATTAAAATTTACCGGTAAATTTACCGATAAATTTTACCGGTAAATTTTGAATCAAATTTTACTGGAAAATTTACATCACTATTACATATAAAATCAAAATTAGGTATTTAAAAACAATTATTTTCAAAACAAACTTTTTTAATTTTTATTATTATAATTAAAAGTAAAAGGATTTGAATAACAAGTAACATAAGAATGAGTTTTAGTAAATGGAACAAGATACACTAGCTCTTAAGAGCAGCGCCTTAAGTATATATTTATAGTATTTGTAGAAAAGAGAAAGAGAAGCGACACTACAACCATGTGATAATGGTTGTAGGTTGGCTGCAAAAGCAAGTCGAACTATGTTTACTATGCGTTTTTGCACCTTATCTAAATTAAAAAGGGCATCATTCAAAGATCTGCTTCAGATATGGCAACAGTATTCCATACAAGAATGGATTTGGTATTTATAGAGATATAGAATAGAATCCTGTTAATCCTAGAAAAAGAAGGGTAGATGACTGATCAAGTACATTATTGTTCATAAATATAAAAAGATCTAGGTTGTTGTGATGACAATTAATTAAAAAAAATAGAGTTTTATCTAAATTAAATTAAAGAGCCCCATCCTATAGCAAAAGTGAGATCCTTTACAAACTCAAACATTCCCTCCAAGCAATCAGAGTGTTGGCTTTTTTCAAGACAAGAATTAATGGTAGTATTATCAGTGAACAATGCCACCAATGTGAGAATTTCTGGTAGATTGCTAAATATAAATTATATAAATATTAATTATAAATGCTATATATGCTAAATATTAATTACAGGTTGGTATCTAAATATTAATTACAGAATGGTACATTGTTCACTCTAACACTTTCTAATACTCTCTAGTACTCTCTAATAGTCCAAGCTGTGGACTATTAAAGAGTGTACTCGGTACACTCTCTAATAGTCCAAGCAATTGCCTCATTACTATTCTAAGCCTTAATTCTTTAAAACTTAATAATCTTTTGTTTGCTTTCTCACAATTTTTTTTTAAATAAGTATATAATATAATATTTTTAATAAAGATTATGAAGAATTTATAGATAGATTCCAACAGTCGCCAAGCAGATATTCCTAAACCTAGTAAATGTTCATATATAAAACTTATGTTAGAAGAAATTTACATAATATTCAATTAAAAAATTGAATTAAATAGAAAGAAAATTTTTTAGTATCATTGTGAAAAGAAAAGAAAAACGCTTCTCTCTTTCTTATTTAAAAATATAAATTATTTTGTTGTTTTCATATATTTTATTCTATGATGAAAAAAATTTCAAGTGTTTGCGTACGAATACAGTTCGATGCCCATGTCCCTGGTAGTACCACGCTCAATTTGTTTCTCTACACGGGAACCTTGTTTGTTAAGGTTCATGTTTTGGCGTTATAGAGTTGAGAAAGGGTTGTGACCACAACTGAGAAAATAGCCTACTTGACTTTAATTCTTTTTATGGCATTAGAAATGTGAGTTAAAGCAAAAAAGTATATATATTAGTTTTCAAATACAAAGAAAAAAATTATTTCATAAATAAAGAAATTGTGATGATATTTTACATTCCTTCAACATTAAATTATAATTTTCTTGAATCTTGAATACATATTTAATTTAAAACTTTGAATTAAAAATGATGAAAAGTTTTAATAAAAAAATTATGAAAAGTTTAAACTTCAAATAAAATATGTTAAAAAGTTTAATCTTGAAGCATTTTATTTTTATTTAACTCAGTTTGGAAATTTTCAAACATAAAAAAATTTATTTAACAGAATGTTTTTTTAAATGCTCAATGTTTTGTTCTGGGATCAATTTTTTAAAATGTATATCAACGTTTCAGATAAAAAATAAATGGAAACTCTATGCTGTTTACTAAAACGTTTTCAAAATAATCTGTAATAATAGTTGCAACATCCATTTTATTTAACTCAAGAAGAGATTTAGTACATTTATAAAATGCTCAACCATGATTAATGAGTTCAATCTAGTTTTTATATCTAGTTTGAGCTCTAAAGAATGTCCTTCTCCTTGCCCAAGTTTGATATTTTTTTGCAAAATAAAATTTCTAATGGTTGATTTTCTAAAAATACAAACAATTTTATGTATGTTTTCGATGTTTTCTATGTATGTTTTTATCGACTAAATTGGATTAACAAGAAAATTATAAAAAATTCTCACTAATCCAATCCTTTTTCTTCAGCATCGTTTAAATTGATCATCTTCATAACATTTTATAACATAGCATTTCATCTGAATGATTCACCATTATCATCATCTTCATAACTTAACTTACTTAGCATAATTCCATGAATCACTTTATGTGTTTTATTATTGCACCACAGTAGAGTTGTTGCTGTTTGAATTCTTTGTTTTGCATGTTACACATTTTGCTTTTCCATTAGAAATTTGTTTAAAATGTTCCCATATTTTTGATGTTTTTTTGCACCAAATCTAGATGGGCTAAAATAAGTGGCTTTAACTTTGATTGGATAAATTAAAAATAAAACTGAAAGAATTATTTAGCTTTATGTTTTGTTTATAGAAATAAATTTTTAGGGTTTATTTAAACAAACTATAGAATACAATTTACACTTCAACAAATGATTCACTTCAACAGGTGATTCACTTTAACATATGGTTCACTTCAACAGGTCATTCACTTCAACAGATGATTTTTTTTTTCACTTCAAAAACTGAAAAAACAAAACAAAAATCTTAAAATTTAAAAATTGAGAATTTTTAAATTAAAAAAAATTTGTTCATTGATATCAAATACATTTAACAGATTCGAAAGTATGAGAAGAACACTGAGGATTTTCTGATTCTATTTTTCCATTTCAGATACCCTAGTTGCGTTAATATAAGGAAAATATCAAAATAAAATTGTTCTAAAACTTTTGTAAAATCTTTTAAATTTAGTTTATTGTTAATTTTTTCTTTTACATTATGTAATATAGGTATCAATTAGTGTGTATGCTTTCAATAGTTAGACTCAGGCCTCAAAGTATTTCCCATATCAATAAGTTTTTTAACTTGAATTTTGCATCATGTAATTAAGAGCTTTGAAATCTGCTTATAAATTTTTCTTGCTCCTTAACTGTCTTCTTATTTTCTTTCTTACTCTTAACTTAAAATGCAAAAAACACTAAATTAAAAAAACGCAACTTAATTGTTTTTATTATTTATCTTAATTAAAAAATTTGTTTCATTCTTCTAGGACTCCTTATAATCCATATGAAAATGAAAGAGACTCTGAAGATGAGCAAATTAATATTCTTATTCTTGGAAAAGGCCAACTTGGAGAAGAACTGAAATGCAAAATAAAGGTGTTAAACAAACTTTTCTTTTGGTCATTACATTTAGTACTCTAATTGTTTTGTTCAATAATTTAACGTTTTAAGAAAATTTAAAAAATATGTATCTATATACACATATACAGTTTTACTAATTTATTACTGCTCTTTTCTTTAAGAACTTTTTTTGTAGAATACACTAGAAATACTTTGTTTAAACACAAACACAAACTTGATATTTTTTTTTGTTCAATATTTTTAATTTTATAATGATTAAACAAATTTTTTTGAGTAACAAGTATGAAGAGGTGATTAAGAGTGATTAAGAGTGAGTAACAAGTATGATGAGGTGATTAAGAGTGATTAAGAGTGAGTAACAAGTATGATGAGGTGATTAAGAGTGATTAAGAGTGATTAACAAGTATGATGAGGTGATTAAGAGTGATTAAGAGTGAGTAACAAGTATGATGAGATGATTAAGAAATATACATGTGTTATTAAGAAATAATTATGTGTAAGTCTTATTTTCACAAAACAATCAATCACAATTCCACAATCAATTCCCAGCTAACACACATTAAAAAATGTAAATAGTAAAATATTTTTGCAAATAGTTAAATAGGTTTTATTATTTCATAATTTTGTTGACATATTACCCAAGGTGCAACACTTCTTCATAAAGTCTTCCTAAGATTAAAATATTAAAAAAGTATTTTCATTCAATAGTCCGAAAAAAATTAGAAGTTAAAGTATTTGGTAAGAAGTTAAAGAAGTAAGTAAGGTGTAAGGCTGGAATAAATTTTATACAGCCTTTTTAGGATACTTGGAATGGCATCCTTTAAGCTATGTTTGCTTTTAGCCATTTATTTTTTTAAAGTCAGTTTATATGAACAAATTATGGCTAAAAAAAAAAAAAATTCAAATAAATTTTTGTTTTCCAACACTGATTTAAATCAATTTTTAAATTACAGTTTATAAACTTTAGTAGGAATAAAGTTTATATTTATGTTTAATAAAAAACAAAATTCAAAAAATATATATTGTTTTAAAATCTTTTTCATTCAAAGTGGTTATGAGATAATTGATATAAATTAATTTTGATTAAAAGAAAGTTTTATCTAAAGATTGTAAAACACTTAAACATTAAAATTTTTTAAAAATTAAATGTAATTTTTGTCAAAGAGAATATTAGTTGTAAGAATTTTGGTTGCATAATTAATATTTTATAGTTATTTCAATGCAATAAAAACATTAGTAAGGGAGGGGGAGGAATCACTGAGTATTAAATAGTTTTCTATGACTAATTAAAGTGGTTTAAATATTGTAATATTTGCTTTTTACTCTTAGTTTTTTGTTTTTTCTTATTTAAGTATCATGTTAAGTAAAAATAATTACTAAAAGGAATATCTTAATAGTATTACTTACTCATTATACTGTAACTGTAACTTAAACTTTAAATTATAAATCAAGTTGTAAATTATAACAGTAACTTATGCTATTTTTAACTCTGCCAAACGAGAATATTTTAAGTTGATATTTAAATATGAGTGATAATATGTTAAAAAATAACAATTACGTACAAAATATACAATTTTATACTAACGCAACCCCCCCCTCCTTCCCCCTATTACTGCAAAGCGGCTCAAACTGAGAGGGGGGGGGAGGGGTTGCAAAAATTTTTTTTTTTGTGATTTGATTTTTTTGCGTTAATTTGAGCCCTAGGCATGTACAAAAAAGTCCTTGGGGTACTTTGATACATTTGATACATATGGATTTGTATTATAGTGAGCTCTTTCCAATTTTGATGTTGTGTTCAACCCAAATTAGTCCATATAAGTAGTGTCCATATAAATCCATTTTATTTGATGTAAGTGCTGTAAAATCTGAAAATAACTTTTTAAAATAAAAGTTTATTAATAAAATAAAAGTTAGGGTCTTTATCTTTTTGGTTAATGTGTTCATTGCTAATTAAGTAGTATATATAATTTATTTCAGTATTATAGTTTCAGCACTCAAAATAGTGGCCAATCAACGATCAATGATCTACTACTTTTAAAAAAAATTGACAATTTGATTGCCTAAAATTAAATCTGGCTGATCAAATTTGATTGGCAGTATTTCTTTGTAAAACTTTAATAATAATTAATAGAAAAACATTTGAAATACAGAAAGTTAAAAATATTAAATTAACATCAAAGTTATATTAAAACAAATTTAATTCTAAATTTAATTCGTTTTTATTTAATAAGAAATAACTTATTTAAATTCTAAATAAATTAAAAAAAAAAAAAACAAAAAAAAAACAGCAAGTTTTATTTTAATTCTAAAAAAAATAAAAAATAAAAAATAAAATCAGCAAAACAAACGTTTTTCTATTTTCAAAATATAATAATTAAAATAAAAAAATAGCAAAACAAAATCTAGTTTATATTTTATTTTAAACGAATATCTTTAAATATAATACTTTAAAAAAAAAATTGTTTATCTTATTTTAATTCTAAATAAAATTATTTATTTATATTCTAAATAAAATAATTAAAATGAATACGGCAAAACTAATGTTAAATTAAATTCTAAACAAATTAATTGAAAAAAAAAGGCAATCTTTTATATGTACTCAAGAAAAAACCTTTAAAAAGAAATACGGAAAAACAAACTTTTGTTATTATATATTAATATTATTATATATAGTTTAAATTAACAAATTTAAAAAGTAACAAAAACAGCAAAATAAACAATTTATTTAAATTCTAAATTACAAAAATTAAAGTTAAAATGGCAATAGCAATTTGATTATCATAATCATTTTTTTTTTTAATTTTTAATCATTATGTAAGTTAAAAAAAAATGCATTTTAAATTTTGGTAAAATTTAATAAAAAATTGATCATCTAAAAAATGATTTGATCGTCTGTTTTTTTTTATTTTTTTATTTCAGCTGACCAATGTGATTAGCAACCATTCAATAATTTTCACTGAGTTTTGTTATGGTCATTTAACTAGGTTTCAGTTAATCATATTAGATCAACTTCAGTGTTTTTCGTGAGTTGATTAGTTATGTTTTGTTGCATATCGATAAAGTATTTGTGACATATTTTTGGCGTAGGCATTTAACTTTTGTTGGGTGAAATTTAGCTGCATTAAGATTAAGTGGTTTTAAGCAGAATATTCTTTGAGGAAGTTAACAAACTTCTGACAATATTTTGGGTGACATTTTTTGAAATTATTTATAATTGATGAAGGGTTTGTTAGTCAGCAGTGAATAATGAGTAAAAGTTCAAAAGAGGTTTCAGTAATAATCATTGCGATAATTGTTATCAGATAACAACTGAGTTTTATTTAATTTGAAATTTACCGCTGAAAACCTTAAGCTGTCACAGTAGAGATTGTGTTTTAGATTAGCTATTTATTAAAGCAATCAAAATGTGATAACTTTTTATTAAAAAATGACACAGCAATATATTCTAGATATAGTTCATCAGCAAATAGAGCCACTTTAAAGGTAAGAAAGAAGGGCAAGACCAAGAATGGAACCTTCTAGTTTGCAGGAGTTACTTGATATTATATATGAAGGAGAGTGTTGTTTATCAATAGCAACTTTAATACTGTAATTAGAAATAAATATTTCAATAGTTTGAATTTTTTTTCCAGATGTGTCATATATAGAGAGCTTATGAAGGAGACCAGCATTTCAGGGTCTATTGAAACTCCTTAATATATTAGGAACTATAGCCCTTATTGTACTGTTCCTTTAATGTACAAATAATACTTTTTGGTATTATGGTTAAATAGCATATGGTTAAATAGCAAATCTTTAGATGCTAGACTCAAGATGATATATTTATTAATTAAATATTGTTAAAGATTATACAAACGGTCTTGCTAATAGTTGAAAGTATACTGATTGAATGAAAAGAGATTGGGAACTAGTTTAATGGTTTGTTCAAATTGATCTTTAGAGGTTTTAGAGATTGGAACCACATGACATTTTTCAATTTTTTTGCTTTTATCTTTAGGGGAGTAAAAAGAACTCATGTATGAGGGATTGAATATCAGACCTGCTTTCATTAATAAAACTGTTAAAAATTTTGAAAAAATTTCAAACTTATTTTGAAATAAGAGATGAGATTTAGTTTTTTCTGATTTTTCATTTGACTACATTTAGTTAGATTTAAAAATTTAGAATAATGGGCTTAAGTGCTTCATGAACATTAAGTTCACTAATAGTAATGTTATTGTTAGATGGATAATGAAAAAAATATGCATTCTTGGAAAAAAGTAAAATGATAAAGAACAGAAAAAGTTGATTAAGTGAAGCAATGTTAAGTAAAGCAGTGCTCAAAGTACATTAAAGAAATGTCAGAAGATTCAACCCTGATTTTGGGACAAATAACTGAAATGATATGTAAGCATGTAAGTCCAGTCTGTATGTATGTAAGCCCAGTCTAAAAATGTGATATAGCTAATATGAACAACATCTGCATGCACTATGACTCTTGATGGCTATTGATGGAATTATGGCTATTGATGGAATCAGCCTCTGTAAATGATTCCGTCAATACTACCACTTACTTTGTGAAACTTTACTACCACTACCACAAGGAAGCATGAGTAATAATCTTTTGTCTTTACTTAACCAAAAACCCCAGGGCTTTGTAGCCCAGGGGTTTTTGGTTAACTCAGGGTTTTGTATAAGGTTAGGGGTATATCAAATAGTAAATAAAAATTTATATATTAAAATTTCAAAATGTTTTTACAAAGCTTTTTATGTTTTTTACAGTTTTAAACTTAAGTTTAGTAGTAGGGAAAATCATTCTGATCACTTTTTCGGTAAAATGATCACTTTTTTGATGAACTTATTAATTTTTAAGATTTTAAAGAGATTTATAAAAAAATTATTATTATTGGTGTCTGGTAGTGTTAATATTAGGATATGTAGTTAATTATTTAAAACGCTGTTCAATGATTTTTCAATCCTTTTCAATGATATGCAATTATTTTGAAACTCATTTTTTTAGAAGTTATAAAATACAATTGCTTTATGTTTTCTTCACCCAAATCAAATTCTTATTTATTTTTTGATAAAATGAAAATGTTTTTTTTTCTTTTTTTTTTAAATGTTTCAATCTTTCAAAATGTTTGTAATTGAAATATTTTTTTTAGTCAGAAAGTTCATCCTATGATTGTATTGAGTATATAGTTGATGGTGAAATCTATGGTCTTAATATTAAAGTTCATGACTCAAACCAAAGCACTGAGGAGCTCTGTTCTTATGTTTCAGATCATAAGCCACAAGGTTATTTTTTACATATTAGTTATTTTATACAGATTAACCTTATCTAAGATCAATTAAAGTAAGGTGAAACTACTAAGGGAGCCACCACACACCACCACCAAAGTAGAAAAGGTTTTAATTTTTATGCTTTTATTTTCAACATCTTGACAAATCTGGGTGTTTAACATAAACTTTAAGTGAGATTTTTCATGCTACTGTTAGTGAATTAATCTCTTACACATATGAATGAAGTGCTCTCTTACCCTAAGTGAGCACTTTTGTACCATAAGTGAGCACCTTTGTACCTTAAGTGAGCACTTCTGTACTATAAGTGAGTACTTCGGAACCATAAGTGAGCACTTTTGTACCATAAGTGAGCACTTCTATACCATTAAAGGGACTACCAAGTCCCGAGACATGTTGTGTTCATATTAAAGAGAATGTTAAAAAAAAACGTCTGAGCAAATTTTATTTGATTAAAACTAATTAATAAATGTATACCAAGAAAAACAAATCTTTTTATTTTAGTCTAAGCTCGACTTCTCCGTTTTCTCTGGTATTTTGAGTATGTAAAATAAACGCGATTTTCCAGGCGCATTATACAGACTTGATAATTTATTCAAGCGCGTTTAATTCATAAGAGTTTTAGAGCATGATGTCATTGGAAACATTCTAGAAATTCTTTGAAAATTTTACTATTAAATTTTACTCAAATAGCTAACTATAGTTACTTATTTTATTAAAAGTTTATTTTATTAATTGTTCGTTAGTTTTTTACAAATCTAACAAACAATTAATTAAACCAAGCACTAAGAAAAGATATAAAAATTAAGAATATACTAATAAAATATATAATTTGTAATTAACTTTCAAAATTTTGACAATTTAAAAAATATATATTATAAAACATTTATTTTTGTAAACAAATGATAATAGTTTAAAAGTTTTACAGCTTTACAGATGTGGCTCCGAGAATGAGCCATAATATTAAAGTAATAGTTCATTTGATAATATATTCTTAAAAAAATTTATGCTAAATATCTCAAAACGCAACAAATCATAAATAATACAATTCCTAAAACATTTCAACAGAATACTCAAGAACTTTATTTCGCTTAGTCATCGTGTTTTTTGAACCAATAGAATTAGTTTGTTCGCAAATTTGGCAGGTTTTTAGTGTTCATGAATATTCTTTTTATTCTTCCGCAAGATGTTTTAAGTTAATTATGTTTCCATGCATGTCTGTAAAATAAAAATTAATATATATTAATTTTTTTTATTTTTAAGTTCCCGCCATAATATATATTGGATGTTATAATGGAAACATAAATAATGAAATAAGATCACCTCAATACCAAAAAATACATTTTTGAAAATCAGAGAAAAAATGCGTTAATAATTTTTTAAAAATATTTACAAAGTAAATTAATAAAAATTTATTATTATTTAGGTTAAAAATTATTTAATCTAATATTTTGAAAGAAAAACTTATAACAAAAGAAATCAAAATACACGTGGTCTAGACGATTATTTAAAAAAAGTTACGCAAATAAAATACTATTTTGTTTTTTATTTTATTTTTGTTTTTAATTTTATTTTGTTTTTAATTTTATTTTGTTTTACAAACACATTTTAAAACTTTAAAATACAATAAAAATGAATATGATTTGGAAATTGTATGTAAAAAAAAACAATCGGTGTTTTAAACAAACAAAAAAAAAATCTATGACGTCATGCACTAAAACTCCTATGAATTAAACGCGCTTGAATAAATTATCAAGTCTGTATAATGCGCCTGGAAAATCGCGTTTATTTTACATACTCAAAATACCAGAGAAAACGGAGAAGACAAGCTTTGACTAAAACAACAAGATTTGTTTTTATTGGTATACATTTATTAATTAATTTTTATCAAAAAAAATTTGCTCAGACATTTATTTTTAACATTCTCTTTAATATGAACACAACATGTCTCGGGACTTGGTAGTCCCTTTAATAGAATAAATAAAACAAAAAAAAATTTTTTTTTTTTTTAGGTTACTTAGCTATATTTTCTACAGAGGACTCTTTAACATATATTAAAAGTTGCCTCGAGATGATTCAAAAGCACGATAAGACCAATAACATGTCACTTATTATTATGTTAGCAAATGAAGGTGGTTTGAGTGATGCTGAAATATCAAATTTACGCAGTTCGGGTCAGGATTTAGCCATTCGGTAATTTTTGTTCTAATTTATTGTTTAACAACTTTAATTGGTTTGATAAAGTTTAGTTTTTAAATGTTCTCAACAAATTTTTTTTTTTATTTGTAACCAAAACTCTTTATTGATACTAAAATTAAATTGATTTTCTAATGATGTAATCTATGTACGATCTTTCGTCTCAATCAGTCGTTTCCCTGTAAAAGATAAAAAATTTAAATCAAATTACAATATTCTATAATTTGATAAATATTTTTTTGAAAATCTTCAAGAGTGTCAATAACAAAAGTAAGTCTAACATTCCATCTCTAATACACAGGTCTAATCTTATTTTCTCTCCAGAATAAGGTAGAACTATTTGTAAAGAGTTTATCCTTTAATTCAAATCTTAAATTTTATGTCTGAACTCTTCTTGTCTTCCCTGAAATACAGTTTAATCTGATATTAGCTAAATCACTCCAGTTATTTCCATTAAAGTTTTTCTTCAAATTATCTACTGCTTATGGTCGAGACAACATTTCTTTCGTTGTCTTTTAAAAGGCAACATTTCTGTCATTGCCTTGCAATGACAGGAATTTTAGATTAAGTAAATAAAGTGTGGAGCAGAGACCTATCATAATCCGTTTTATGGAACCAGCTTGTCTTCAAAATACATTGATAAAATTAAAATTAACTATGAATTAATACGATATAATTGCTTTAGGTCATTTTTGAGTAGTTTTTAGGCTCTAACCATTGCAAGCGCTCTAACCACTGCGCCACAATCACACTTTTCTGAATTAAATGTTCACACGGTCTTGCCATATCTACTCTTCACACGGTCTTGCCATATCTACTCTTCACACGGTCTTGCCATATCTACTCTTATAAATATTTAATAAGAGCTAAATCTTGTTTGCCTGCTTGAAAATGACTGCGATTCGAATTTTTAAAAACTCTGAACTTTGACCCTTCTAACTTTAGTCCAATCAGTTTTCTCTCTATTATGTCCATGGATTTTCCATATAATATTAGTAACATTAACATAGTTCACTTAGCAACTGTTCACATAGCTTCACTTAGCAACTGTCACATAGTTTTCTTTCTATTATTAGCAACTTTGTCTTTAATAAATTACTATTATTTTGATATCAGTCTTTAATAAATTTTTATTATCTTGAATCTAATAACTTTATTACTTAAATTACATAAATTTCTGTTCAATATTTCAATCATCTCATTCTGTAGCTGACTTATAAACTGTTATAGCAGAAAGTTTTTTTTTTTTTTTTTTTTTTTGAATTAAATTGTGGTGGCAAGGCTTGGGCTATAGCTCTTGACATGTCAAAACTTTTTGATAAAGTCTGGCATGCTGGTCTTTACTTCATATTGAGTATCTGAAAAAAAGTTTTAAGATGATTAAATCATTCCTTTTTAATTGGAGTCTCAAAGTCGTTCTTAAATGCCAACACTCTTCTTCATTTACAACTTCTGGGGTACCACAAAGTTCTATCCTTGGTCCTGTATTATTTTTCAACTTTATTAATGATCTTTCAATATAAAATCTTATACATCTTTATTTGCTGTCTACTCAACAATATACTTCTGTATTTATTTATATATATAATTATTTGCTGTCAACTTGTCCTGTATTGACTAAAAGTCATCATTTTGATTGATTAGAACAGACAGCCAATCTTCAATCTGATCTCTTCTGCATAACAGCCTGTGGCTTGCAGTGGCTTTTAACTGCGAAATTTAGCTCCAGTTAAACTCAATTATTTACTTCGAACAATTATTGCATAGCTGTTGATTGATCACTTATAAAAGACAATACTCTTATTAAGTCCCAAACTTTTTTTTTGATTATCATTCACAACAAATTGCTCATGAAAACCATATATACAATCGATTGCAAAAAATCGATTGCAAACCTCTGCTGATGTTGCTTCTCTGTTGAAGTTGCTTCTCTTTCTCGTTCTTTTTATTTTTTTAGCCCTGATTCCATTCTCGACCTCTTTAAATCTATTATTTATCCCTGTATGGAACACCATTGTCATATTTGGGCTGGTTCTTGTAAAGATGACCTTTCTCTTCATGACAAAGTCCGAAACGTCTAAAAAAGTTGGACCGGCTTTTTCTGTCTAGCCTGAGCCACTGTCCCATTATCACCAAATTACATCTATTTTTCTGTTTCCACAAATACTATTATGATCACTGCTTAAACAAGTTATTATCTCAAATTAATCAAAACTAATTTTTGTTTGATTTGTCATTTTGATGCAACTTTGCTGAATGAATCCTCATTGTATCTGTCTGTTCATGCTCTAAAAATTTTTATTTATCTACTTTTTTTTAATCGCACATCATGGCTTCAGAACTCTTTCCCATCTTCATGTTTTCCTGGTTTATACAAATTTTGAAGTCTTCTCTTAACTGTTTTCTTGCTCTTTAACACTATACTTCGTTTTCTAGTAACTTAATAGTGGTTGGTTGCAATCTTGTTTCAAATGAATTAAAAATTAAAAAAAAAAATTTAATTCAAATTTTATTTCTCATGTTTTTTTTCCTTTTTAGTATCTCCTAACTTCTTTATTTGAAAAAAGTTATTAAAAAAATCCTTATGGAATAAATGTTTTTGAAAACATAGTTTTATTAAAGGAATAATTTCCACAATTTTTAATTTCCAAAATTTTAAAAATCATTTCTTTTGTATGTGTTTGTTTAAACTTTTTTTTTTCAAGTTTTTTTTTTTGTTTCATTTTTTTGATTCTTATTTCGTTAGTCAGATTTGTTGATTCATTAATCAATAATTGTTTTTAAGTATGGACTGTGTTTTTCTTGATTACCCATACACTGTATATTGTTTTTAAGTATGAATTGTGTTTTTCTTGATTACCCATACACTGTATATTGTTTTTAAGTATGGACTGTGTTTTTCTTGATTACCCATACACTGTATCATTAATGGATGATAAGATACACGACTCACAAGTTCAAGATGCTCTTAGAAGAATAATTGATGTCATCAATAAACGAGTTCAGTCACCTCATACTCCAATTGAGTCTGTTAATGTCAATGCAGATATCCGGTAATTTTTTTTAATGTAATTTTTGAAAATCTAATGTTTTTATTATCTTTTATTGACTTAACTAAATTCAAACCAGAATCAATTGTTTAGTTAGATAACAATTGAAATTATGTTTAAGATTCATGTGTAAAGTAAGAAGATCTGTATAAAGTGCTAGAAATATATCCTCACCACATCCTTGGTAAGGACAATATCTCTGCTAGTATCATGTTCAACTTGTTTCTTCACACAGCAACTTTGTTATTCAAGGTTAATGGTTTGAGAGGGTTGATACAACATTCAAAGTAAAAAAACATGTCTTCTTGACCTTTAGGGAGGTAAATTTCATCTTCTTGACCTTTAGGGAGGTAAATAAAGTAAAAAAAAAATTATTTTGTTGAAGAAAGCTGCATTAATGGCTAGATTGTAGACTAAATGTGTCAAAGAAAAAATAAACGAAAGATGAATAAAAAAATAGATATATGGGATGTTTTTTAACGTTACTCTATATAGTATGGTTGTAAAAAAAACTAAATTTTTTTTCTTTTTTCTTTTTTTGAAAACTAATAAATGAAAAGTTTAATGGAATAAAGTTTTTATCTCTTTAGATTTAAATTTAATTTAGTTTTTTATAAAAATCATCACATACAAAAAATCATATAACTTTTCTTTTTGTATTTCTGTAGGTTTCTTTTCTTTTTTATAACATGCTTATAAAAAAGAAAAGAAACTTTTCTTTTTTATAAACTTTTTCATCTTGTGAATGTAAATTAAATTTAGTGTCTTCTATTATGAATGTAAATTAAATTTAGTGTCTTGCTATGCGCAATGTGTGGAGATGAGTATCCGGTTGAACTTATTCTTGGACCAATGATGCAACATCATGTTAGTTATTCAAATCCAGAGATGCAAGATACAGTTATGTTAGAAGCTATGCTTGGGGGTGCAAAAAGGACAATATCAGTGACACTTTCATCGTATCATAGTAAGAATAACAATTGTAGAAATTATATATACTATGTGTGTGTGTGTGTGTATATATATATATATATATATATATATATATATATATATATATATATATATATATATATATATATATATATATATGAGGGTTCTGTGAAGCTTAGAAATTTCAAATCGAATCAAAAAAGTAATTTGAAATTCGATTCGAAAATCTGCATATTTTCAAATCAATGTTTCTTTATATTCTTTCAAAATTAGTGGTTGCTAACCATTAAGGTCTTATTTTATTAAGCAGTTCTAACAGTCGCTATAAGAAAATAGCTTTTTTATAGTTTATTTGTTTTTAAGGGGTTTTCCCATAAAGTATGTAACACTATAAATAATTTTTAAATATAGGTAGGATCTTTTGATCTCTTACACATGGAAATTTCCATTGACATAAAGCGCTATATTACTTTAAAGAATCACCCTAAGAGAACCAATAATCTCCTACTTCTATTTAAAAGGAAAACTTCACGTTACACTTTATGAATGACCCCTCAACAGAATAAAAACTCAACGATTCTAATTTACAAAATTATCGTAATTATTCATTCTAACGTTTTTAAAACTCCACCGTGATGCTATAGAAAGAATATACAACTGAGATTAATTTTTGTATTTTTTTTTCAAGGAGAGCAGTTAAATTTAAATACATTCTTTTATAAATTGTCTTCGTTTAGATAAAGAAATCAAAAATTATTTAGATTTATCACACGTTTATTACTTTACTTGTAAGACAATTAAATAAAAAAAACGTTATTTTCAAAATTGACTTATGATTTCATATACTCTTTTAATTTCACTAACTCTTTCAAATTACTATATTTCAATTTATACAACTGTAGGAGTTATTAAGTTGTTCTTTGAATTAAAAGATCAGTTTTATTTATGTAAAACGTGCAAAACCACTTTACGTGTACAAAACACTTGCACAACATCACATCCCTGGGATCACTTGGAAAGAAAACACTACACTTAATACTCAAGCTGAATCAGAGCAAACAAAAAAACAAAAATTGTCAAAACCAGATGTTTTGGAAAGCATTTGTTTGAAATGTCAGTTGTAAAAAAGTTCGAAATGTAGGTTGTAAATGTGCCATTACCTTTGATTATTGGAAAGCTGCAAATAATGGCAACTATTTAGTTTTAATAGTTCATTATATATCTCTAACAGAATGGAAGCTAAAATCGTGTTGTTTATCTGTGGTAAATCTTGAAGACATTGATGCAAATCATACTTCTCAAAAAACAAGAGGTTATTATAAATCATCTGCAAAGTTCAAATATTGAAATAGACAACGTTCTATTTGCGACCACAGACATGACAATTGCAATGCCTGCCACTGCTAGGAATTACATGGCAGCTATGTGTTGCACAAGTTCTTCATTTATGCATTAAGAGTGCTTTAAATAATCAACAATAAGTTAAAAACCTTATTAGTTTGGTTCAAAAAATTGCAGGTTTTTTCAACAGTTCTTCTGTAGGTCTAAAATGTTTAAAGAAATATCAACTTGAAAAAAGACTTCCAGAATTATGTCCACCACTTGATATTGTTACTAGCTTTAACAGTACATTTAAACTTCTGAGTTGGTCATGTAAAAATTGTACTGCAATAACAATGGCTCTTACGGAATGCATTTTAAGTGATAGATATGCAAAAGCTCCTTCTCAAGCTTTATCGGTGACAATGCAAGACATTCAAAAAAAGTGTAATCCCTTTTTGAAACCAATTTCGAATGCAACAACGCTACTTTGTTCTAACACTACTGTGGCTATCAGTTTAGTTAAACCTTGCATTTACACTTTAAAAGTTCAAATAGATTCATTAAATTGTAGCTATATGAGCAGCTTTAAAAAATAGTTACTTTCACAACTACATGCACATTTTAATTTAAAAAATGTTACGCTCCTTACCTCAACATATTTAGACCCTAGATTTAAAGCTGTAATTCACACAATGAATCGCTTGTTTTCCACAATTGAAAACGAGCTTTCAATTGTGGAAAACCATTTAACTGAAATTTCCGTTGATTTTAAACCATGTGAAACTACTCCTTGTGTAAATTCTATCAATGAAGTAAAAGTTTAAAAACTAATCTAAAAATTTACTTGACCATGTATTTAAACAAGTTAAGGAAAAAGAATTTGAAAAACATAAACTTTTACAACTAAATTCTGCAAAAAGACACATTGCAAAGTTGTTTGCAATCCATAAATAGTGATAATTGCCTACTTGAATTCTAGAAAAAAAATGAAAATATTTTTCCTGTTCTTTTGCACATGGTTTGATCTGTATTAGCTGTACAAGCAACAAGTTGGTCTTCTGAATGAGGCAACTCAATTGGTGAAAATGTAGTAAGCTATTCACATCATTCTTTATCTAATAATAATGCTGAAACCTTGATTTGGGCGCAAAAAAATAAAGACATTTTATTTTAACTCTTTTTTATCCTATCAAGTAACTTTGTCTTATTTCTTTTTTACTTTTTTTTTTATCCTATCAAGTAATAATGTCTTATTTCTTTTTTTATTTTTTTTTATTATTTCAAGTTATTTTAGGGGAGTACAATGCAAATGTCATTGTTTTTGAGTGTCTTTAGATAACTTCAAGCCATTCCAGGCAGAATATGAAAATAAAAGAATAAACGGAATGTGAAGACTTAGTCCCTAATGAAGTTTTTTTTTTGAAATATATATTATAAAAAAAAAAAAAAGCTAAAGTTTAGATTTCCTCAAAATATTGATTCAATTCCTAATTCGAATGTGAATCAAGACTTGCTTTGATTTGATATTCAATTAAAAAAAAGGCAATTCGCAGGGCCCTAATATATATATATATATATATATATATATATATATATATATATATATATATATATATATATATATATATATATATATATATATATATATATATACACACACTTACTAAAGCGTGTTTTGATAAGCATTTGCTTACTTTTTCTGCTTACCTTAAGCTATACCGTTTTTTTTTGAAAAAGAAGAAAAAACGAAGAATGATGAATGAAATGATTGCTTCCCCATCCCAAATCCTCAGTCGATGTAGTAGATTATTATATCTTATATATAATATATATATATATATATAAGATATAATTTTTGAAATTTTTTTTAGGAGCACATAGTATGAAACGAATATCATATCATGGTTTTATTTTGATTTACTCAGCTACAAGAAAAGCTTCGCTAGAGACTTTAAGGTTGATGTTTTTCTCTTTTCTTTCTTTTTTCAAGTTATTTATTATTGAAACTATTGAAATGATTTGAAGTTAACATATTTCATGTTAAGAGCATTCGCTTCGACCTTACCTGAAGTACCAATACAAGCACTTGCTGTTACAGGAAGCTTCTCTTTGGCTAGTGTTATATTTCATGAGGAGACATCAGCTTTACTTCTAAATAATTGTCCACAGTTTTCAACCAAACAAAATGATCAGTTTTCTTTTCATAAACAAGGTTTTTTTTTATGCTTTATTTTTTTAAAAGTATTGAAATATTTGGAATATTGAAACCATTTTTTTATGTTTATAATGACCTACTTGATGTGGGTTAAGAACTAAAAAGCATTTATCTAATTTATCCTAAGTTTAAATGCATTGTGTAGGTATTGTTTTTTTTCTACAGAAAATCATAAAATATGAATATAAATAATATAAAGTATAAATATATAATAATATAAAATATTAGTGTATCATGGTCAGCATTGTTTTAGCAGCCTTGATTGTGTTTTTTTTTTTTTTTTTATTTCACTTCCCTAAGACTCCTGAGTACTGTAGTCTAGGAGACTAATCTTTTTTTCTTAACTTGTTTGTAGGAACTAAGAAGTTAAAAAAAGGTAACAACAATTTTAAAAATACTGTAGAGGAGACCTCAGTTAGTGTTAGTGAACACCTCAGTTAGTGATAGTCAAGTCTTCAGTTAGTGTTAGTGAACATCTCAGTTAGTGATAATCAAGTCTTCAGTTAGTGTTAGTGAACACCTCAGTTAGTGATATTCAAGTCTTCAGTTAGTGTTAGTGAACACCTCAGTTAGTGATAATTAAGTCTTTAGTTAGTGTTAGTGAACACCTCAGTTAGTGATAGTCAAGTCTTCAGTTTGTGTTAGTGAACACCTCAGTTAGTGATAATCAAGTCTTAAGTTAGTGTTAGTGGACCCCTCAGCTTTCAAGCAGTTAATACTGTTTTTAAAAAAATGCACAAAAGTATATGGTTTCTAGTAGAAAAGTATCTGGTTTCTAGTAGAAAAGTATCTGGTTTCTAGTAGAAAAGTATATGGTTTCTAGTAGAAAAGTATCTGGTTTCTAGTAGAAAAGTATCTGGTTTATTGTTGTTTAATCTACTTATAGCAATTTACACATTTTTTTTTCTCAATCTGTTACAGTCATGTTCAATGAAATGAAAACATATTTAAAAAGCAATATTTTTTTTAATCTTAATTTTTGTTTTTCTTAAATGTTCATTTTGATGACCCTTTATCATAGATAAGTTAATAACGTTTAGACCAGGACATCAATGCTTTATTTATAAGTTCCTCCCTTAAGATCTTTTATATTCTGAATAAGCTCTGTAACATTTTTTGCTTTTCGTTTTTTAATTGATTCAGCATATAACCCCATGTAAAAAACTCTATATATGAGTTATCTGGTGAGTTTGGTGTCCATATTTCAGGATGAATAAATTTGATATTTTGGTCAGTTAAAAATTTTTGAAGAGTGACTAGGTGTTGAGTTTTGATGGAAATAAATTTTTTGAATCTTTTGATATCATTTTTAATAAATGGTTTTAAAATGATCTCTATATAGTTACTTGAATTAATTTTAAGTCCTAATTTGACAAATATTAGAAAATGTTAATCCTTTTGCACAAATTCCTTCCCATACCATGATGGATTTTAGTAAATTTTTCTTTTTATAATAAGGAACTCTCTGTGATTTTTGATATTTATTTATGTAAATGGATTTTTGATCACAATCAGTAAGGTAGAATAGTTTTTTATCAGTTGTAATGATTTTTGTCCAGTTTTTCTTAAAAAATTCTTAAAGCTTTTTTGATCTTGTAAACGTTCTATTGAATGCGCACAAGCTGATAATGCATATACACATCCTTTTGAAACTTTTTTCAAATTAAATATTTTATCAGTATAACGTTTAATTGACTTTCTTGATATCTTAAACTTTCTAGATAATTCAGAAATAGTTAGTGGATTGTCTTTTTTAAAAAAGTTCTCTATCAGAAAAATTTGCCGTAAATTTAGCTTTAACGATTTTGACATTCAGCTTATTTGTCATTTAAATCATCTTCTCTTTTAATTCTTGTCACGTTATTTTTAACTCTACTAACAGTGGTTATTGAAACTTTGATTGGTTCCTTTCTAACAAATTCTTGATCATTCTATACAAATATCCAAGTTGTACCAACAATAAAATATGTCCTTTAACATTCACTTTATTTTTTTTTGTCAACAAATGTGTGATTAAATTATTAAAATAACATGGTTACATATTGTTTAATTAAGAAGTAATCCAGTTTCAAAAGTGTTTCTATTTCAATATCACATGACTGAATAAGGAAAGTGGCAAACAGAGCTGAAACCTAAAGTGAAATCAGTTATTTGTGTATCTCAATTATATCTAGAGATTGAAAAATGGGTAGTAACAGTTACCATGGCTATGTATACAAATTTTACAACAGTAATTTAAAAAAAAGGAGAGAGTTTTGGTGTAAAATGAATGAAGAAGTTTTTGTTGGTTCATATTAAGTGCTCATTCTTTTACTTTTATATTATTTTTTTTATATATTCTCTTTCTAAAAAGTTCAGTGTTGATTTATAATGGGTCTGTTCTATGTAGATGATTTATATTTGATTGAAGATCCAGAAGATTAATTAATATTAAAAGTTTATTGTCGCTAAGATAAAAACAAAAGGGTTTAGAATAATTATGTAAAAGAAAAATGCTTTTTTAGTTGAGCATATGCAAGTAGAAAATAATGAAAAGTGGCAATCAGAGTTTTTAATAATTATATGTGAAGTGTGTAAGTAAGAAATTTAAGCAAACTGTTGTTTTTTCAGTTTTCAACAAACAATAGAGTGGTATATTGCAACAATATTACTATTAGCAACAATATTACTGTAAAAAGGTGCTTGTAATCGTAATATTTTTCATTTGAGTTATAATGACAATGGTGGTGGTAGTGGTGGTGATGGTGGTGGTTGTGATGAAGCCTAGACTAGAATATCTGGTGTGGTATATTGTGTGATCCTAATTTTTTGGTGGATTGATTTAAGAACAAAAGTTTTGAAGTTCTAGCCGAATTCTTTTTTAGCCGCATAGTTACTGATTAATTTGCTTTATAGCAATGAATTTTTAATAATTATTAAGCTTATCATATATAAAAATTAAAAAAATGTGTCATGTCACTTTGGTAACTGCTAGCTTGTATATTTATCCATCAAAAATCAATTTTGTTAAATTATTAGTTTCTTAAGTGTTTTTAAGCAGCCATTATGGATAAATAATGTAATTATAAAATTTAATTTCAATGTTTTACTAATTGAAGTCCTGAGTTGTCTAGTAATTTACTAATTTAGGTCCAGTTATATTCAGGTCATATAGAGTTGTCTATGATGATAAAAAGGGTAATTAATTAAATAAAAGGGTAAAGTATAGAACTTCAAAGTACTTTAAAGTTTTGCTATTGGAGGTTACATTAATAAAAAAAAAGATATTTCAACTGACTTTTTTTCATGAAGAACAGAAAGGTTATGAGTTCAAGTTCAGTTTCAGTTTTTCAGGATTTTTTTTTCTGTTTATAATTTTATATACATAAAGCTTTAACAAATGTTACTGTGTGTTTAAAAGATATCAAAATATTAACTGAACTTTATAATCATGAAAGGCTCAGGGTCTGGGTCAACAACTATTAAGTACAAGCCTAAAAAATATTGTATACATTATTATGTATTATAATATATCTATTAGTAATTGTAAAGCAGTTGTAATTGTTTTTTAATTGCAGCAGGTGCATTCATGAATTTCTTTAATCACACATATGCAAAGCGGCATGATACTGAGTTGGCTTTACAAGGCATCAAGCGTAGACCAAATGATCCATTGCCAGAGGTGCCTAGTTTGAATAAAATTTCAGATCATATTTATGATGGAATATATATTTCAATAGATCCAAAAGCTGTTACTCCAAATAATACGCCATATGAAAAAGAAACTAAGTACCATGATGGCAGTGATTCAGATGTATCATTGGCAAAGAAGTCAAATCATGAAATTTCAACATATTCTGATGATAGCATTGATGATGAGTGTCACATTCCAATTGAGCATGATGAAACCGGCATGTATGCTCGAGTTATAAAAAAAAAGCCTATATTAGATCAATATGATGATGATTCATCTGATGACGAAGAAGAATATGATGATGATGAAGTGAAGTGGACTGATAATCAAGCATTTGAACCAAATAAAAAATATGAGGCTCCCTATGCATCTGTTCCTTTTCTTCCAAAAGAGTATAAGTCTTCCCTTACAGATATATCTAAAAAATGTAAAACATTTGATAGTTTTAAAAGCTATAATGATTCAGACTACGCTTCAATTGATCAAATCAAATCTCAAATTTACAACAATGATTTGGATAATATAAGCAATGTTTCATCTAAAAGTAAAGAGTCTACTGGATCAATCGATAATTTAAATTATCCATTAATTAAAACAGCATGGCATGATCCAACAAATAAATGGGAGACAAAAACAAATGTTGCTGCACCTTTAGCAAAGCCAGATGTGAGTTTTTTTTTTTCAATTAGAATATAAAATGTTGCTTTTTATATGCAACTTCTAATTTTTTTGCAAGAAAATTATTATCTTAGGTATCAGGTGTTTATTATAAACTCAGGTATCAGGTGTGTATTATAAACTTAGGTATCAGGTGTTTATTATAAACTTAGGTATTAGGTGTTTATAAAAAAATATATATTTTTTGATGTTAGTAAATGGTTAATTTCTTTTAACTTTTAATGTAGAATTTTTTTTTTTTTTTTTTTTTTGTATAAAAAATTTATATTTACTTTAGAATGATGAGCCTGAAGATATCAAATTGCGAAATGCATTAGAAAAACACCCAGAATTAATGTTCCACCCACAACAAAACACTGTTTCAAGTACAAAGCCAAGATTTAATTATAATAAAAAGAATATGTCTGATGGTAATCTTTTTGCATCTACACATGATCATAAGAATAAAAGCATTTTTAAATCATTTATTATAAAAGTTACTCCAAATCCATCACCAACAAACTCAGATGAAGAAAAAAAACATAACCACAGCACTCCAGCAAAACCTATGAAAAAACCGAAAAACTTTAAACGTAAAAAGCATAATAATGGACATACTAATTCTGAGCATACTAATCCAGTAATAGTTGTCCAAGATAATGATAATATTCGTGATAGATCGAATACACTTCCACCTGACAGTCCTGTAACAAAGCACTGTATGTTTGTTTATTTTAATTTATAAGCTTCTTTAGAATATCAAATTTTAAATTAAAAAATTTAACACTTTTCCTATTTAAAATTTAAAACATGTAATTTTTCTTTACAAATTTTGTAATTATTATTTTGTAGCAAAAATGACGCGAACACTAGATCATCAAAAAAACAAGAACATAAAGCAAAAGTACAACTTTGTACAGGAAAATACACACCTGAATACATCCACTGATCTAGGAAAAACAGAGACACAAACATTAAACCGCAAAAAAAGTAAAACTGCTGGTAAATCATCTAAAGTAAGTTGGTACTTTTCTTTATAGCTGTTTATTGATTTATCTTGATTTTAAGTTAATGCAAAATTCCTAAAGAAAATTTAAGGTAAGTAGGAAATTATAAAGTAGGATGGAAGGAGGTATTAACTTTGAAAATCTTTTTTTGCAAACCTACAGTCTACATTTACATTTGTATAATTTTAAGATGACTTTGCGAAACCTGTGTTGATTTTAAAAGTCATCTTAAATGAGTAATTTTTTAATTATCTGATTTAAATTTAACTGAGCCCTAACCCTAACCCTCACCCTAACCCTCACCCTGACTGATTTAAATATAACTGAGCCCTAGGAAATGCTTGATGGGAAACTTTTTGAATGTTTTGTAAATTTAATTAAATGTTAAAAAAGTACTTTTGTAAATATTATTTACAAAAGTACTTTTTTACTATTTGTAAATATTCAAAAATGAGAAGAATTTGTTATTACATAACTTGCTAATAAAATTGATAGTTGCAAGTTATATTAAGATCAAGAAAACAATGTCATATTTCAAGGTATATTGAAACTGGTTAGCTTAGAAAAAACCTTTTTTAAATCTTTATACTCTTCTGATATACCTAACCTTTTGAGATAAAGTTTTTTTCCCCATTAAAATAAAACTTTAATTTTGTCTGTAAACTTATTTAGTTTTAAACCATAATTTGATTATGATTTCAACTTTTTCAATTTTAAACGATAATTCAATTATGGTTTCAACTTTTTCAATTTTAAACGATAATTCAATTATGGTTTCAACTTTTTCAGTTTTAAAACATAATCATATTTCAACTTTTTCACTAACTAGTTACTAAGAAGACTTTATTTTTTCTTTAGTCAACTATTGAAGGGTTAGACCTTCACGAAAACGTAAGTACTTACTTTTTATTTTTTAATTAATTTTCAAAAAAAAGAAATCAATGTTTTATTGATTTTTTTTAAATTCATAATATGTGTATTATAAATTTATTATAAATAAATTTTTTTCTAATGTTGTATTTACATAGCAGCATAATATTATCTCATATTTTTTTAATATATAGTTATATATTTCTTGAATTATGCTTTTATTTCATTTATAGCATGATGGTTCACACAATAAGCTAAAAAAAAAAAGAAGTTCTATACGCTTTTTGGGACCATCAAAACCAAAATCTAAAGTTCCTAAGCCTATCAATTTGGCTCTGGATTGGGAGACCAAGCAGAAACAAAAGTCCAGCACTTACTTTGGAAAACCTTTAAAAGATATAATCCCACAAGATAGTTTGTGCCCAATTTTTGTTACCAGTGTCCTCAAGTATATAGAAAGTACAGGTAATGGTTTAAAAAAAATTTAAAAAACCTGAAATGTTTTTTGTTGTTGTTGTTTCTATTAAAATGGATTTTTTTTAAAGTTAATTTGTTGTCATAGTTACATTTTTTATTAGGTTGGGAGTTTGATTATTATTTCTACTTTTTAACAGGTATGCAAAGTGAAGGTTTGTACAGAATCAGTGGTAACAAGCATGATATTGAAGCAGTTCAAACAAAATTTGAACAAAGTAATGGTTTTTCTTTTTTTGTATTTTTTGAAATTTTTACTGTAGTAAACACTTGTTGTGTTTTGTTAATTTAAAAATGTTTAGAAAAATTAGAAAAGAAATCTCATTACTCACTCAGGGTTGCCATTCATTCTGAAAAAACTGGAAAAAGATAAATTTTAGGAAAATTTTTATTAAATTTTTAACAATAGTTTATCCTAACATATGTTCATAATATATATTAACAATAATTGTTTATAAAATTTAATGTTCCAATTTTATGGTTTGGTTATTTTTAATATAAGATTTAAATTTATATTTTAAATTTATTCTTTAAACTGTTTTAAATATGATGCTCAGTATGTTAGATATCAAAATACTGAGTAAAGTTTGGTGTAGTAAATAATATTTAACCATTATATATACAAGTATTAATATATAAATGTATTCAATATATACGAATAATTAAATAAATAATTAACTTAAGGCTTATGGTCTGCATCATTTTTTCTGTTTAAAAAAGTTTTTTTTTTCAATAATGAATGTTAGTTGTCATTGTAGAGTTGTTAAAACATTTTAGTTGACTCAATGAGCTTGATTTCTTTTTTAATTTCAGCCAAACTATTTTCAGCAATGAAATTAATTTTCAAATTTTTAATTGTAAATCAAGACACACGTGAATACACATGAAAAGGTTAAAAAGTAAAAAGACACTTGCTTTTGTGTACAGTGTATACAAGCTGGCGGTGACTCAGTAGGCATTTAGTGATTATTTCCCTTAAAGAAGCTCGGTCCATAAAAATATATAAAGGCTCAATAAATCAGTTTTTGTAAAAAGACGCCCTAGAAATGTGCATAAAACCATCAATACCAAATAATCTAATCCGAAGATCTCGCAACTTTCAATACTAACAAGATAATACACCTTTCACACAGCCAAGAGTATTAAAGAATATTTATAATCCAAAAAAGATACCTTCATTGCCACCGTGTGCCTAAATACCTGATTTAATTCCCATTGAAAACATTTGGGCTTGGGTAGACCTTAACACGTGCAACATTAAAATCAAAAGCAAAACACACTTAATAAAAGTTCTTGAAAGCACATCAAACTTAATTTCAAAAGCATTATGCATAAATTTGATAGAGTCAATGCCTAGGTGTGTCAATATGTGTTTTAAAGCCAAGAGTGGCTATTTTAAGTGGCTATTTCACTGAAATTTTTTGTTTTTTACTGTTAAACCTGGGTTAGTCCAAATTTAATTGTCACTTTTTTTTTTCTTGTGTTTTATTTAATTTAACTTTTTATTGTTTAATTTGCTGCTAACTGATTTTTTTTTAACTTTAATTAATTGGCAATTTCACTAATAACCAAAAAAATTTTTTTTTTTTAATTTTGGTTATTAATGAAATTTATTTTAATTTCTTCAAGTACAGTTTATGTAAAATCTATAACATTTAATTGAGGAAACTAATTCTATCGTTTTTTAAAAAAAATTGTAAAAGTGCAAATAAAGTAATAGAATGTTTTTAAAAGCAAACAAAAAAATAAATAAAAACATTCTGAATATTTTTATTTTTTTACTGTTTACAATCATCAACTGACAAATAGGTAGAACATGCAAGGAGTGTTGCTACATTAACTGAGTGTTTGGTTTGTTATGAGGCTGCTGTCAGTGACTTCAGCACATAAACTGTTTTACAGCCTGCTACCGCAAAGAAGTGTCACTACATAGACTGATGGTTTCAGATTGGGTAGCAATCATTCTTTTTTATTTTATTCTTATTCTAAAAAAACCATATACTATGAAAGGTAATCAAAACTAGTAAACGATTGCTGATTTATATACACTCTAGTAGATAAGTATATATGTGTGTGTGTGTATATATATATATATATATATATATATATATATATATATATATATATATATATATATATATATATATATATATATATATATATATATATATATATATATATACTCTTGCATGTCTCTTGCGTGGCATCAAAAAATGTTTCCCATAAACTGTAGTTTTAAAGAGCGCGTTAATAAACCAGACCAGAAAAAGTTTTAAAAATTAAATTTTTTTTTTTAATTGATAGACTGCCTGGCCAAACCAAACCCTCAGTCGATGTAGCAGCACTCTCTTGCGAGTCAGGCTATTTGTCAGTCGATGTAGCAGCATTCCCTTGCGAGTCAGGCTATTTGTCAGTCGATGTAGCAGCACTTCGTTGCGAGTCAGGCTATTTGTCAGTCGATGTAGCAGCACTTCGTTGCGAGTCAGGCTATTTGTCAGTCGATGTAGCAGCACTCCGTTGCGAGTCAGGCTATAAGATAGTCGATGTAGCAACATTTACGCATGTTTTAAAAATGTTTTTTATTAAATCAATAACAAAAACACCACTAATTAAAAAAAACTTTCTAGTCGTTATAATTGCGGTTTTTTAAAAATTTTTTAAAAAACAATTAAATTTAATGTACTTTCGCATAAATTAATTGCTTTGACATTTCGATGACAATCAAAAACAGACGAGGTAATTAAAATTGTAGTCGTAAGAGACTTTTTTTACATTAAAATGCTCTTAAAGCTACACTATATGGGTATATATATATATATATATATATATATATATATATATATATATATATATATATATATATATATATATATATATATATATATATATATTTTTGTATAAAATTAACAACACTTTGTAAAATTTTAATTAAGCATGTTTCAAACTACATAGTTCATTATTAGTAAAATTTAAAAAAAACATTTTTATTAGGTAAGAAAGTTAATTACTCTAATTTAACTGAAAGCTGAATTTGAATTTTTAAACCAAATTTAACTGAAAGTAGAATTTTGAATTTGAAAAACTAAAAAATTGAAAGATTTAGACTTTTATATTGAATTTTAAATAGCTTATCATGCATTATTAATATTACCAATTCAGAAGGATAAATCTATTTCATGTTCTCAAAGCCAAAGGGGCCACTTCAGTTAAAGAGGCTGCTCTTTTCTTTTTTTAAATTTTTATATTTTTTTTATTTACAACCCTCTCTCAACTCAGAAATACGAACCAAATTTTAATGAATATTTGCCGATCCTTTCATTAAATGATGAAAAATTTTCTATCTAAAAAGTCTTAGACAGTTCATCCTATGTAGTAAACATTGTTTACAGATTTATTGTGCTAACTCAAGTCTTTTAATGAGAAATTTCGAGCCTGGTTTTAAAAGAAGAAAATGATAATTTGATAAATATATAAATCTTTTATAAATTTTCTTTAAATTTTGGCAAATCATTAATTTTGATTTTTTGATTTCTAGAACAATCATCTTTATACGACAACCTAAAATATTTGTAATTTATATATATATATATATATATATATATATATATATATATATATATATATATATATATATATATATATATATATATAGACACACACACACACACACACACACACATATAAATGCAGTATTACACGCACGCTGATGACATCATAAAAAACAGGAAGTTGCGGGGGCTTCAGTACATACATTGACTATCAAACTTAAGGTTTGGTATGAGGCAGCAATCTTTTCTTTCATTATTCTTTGTTTTTTTTTTTCTTTTATTCCTAACAAAATAAATTGTACCGTATTTATTCCTAACAAAATAAATTGTATCGTATTTATTCCTAACAAAATAAATTGTACCGTATTTATTCCTAACAAAATAAATTGTACCGTATTTATTCCTAACAAAATAAATTGTACCGTATTTATTCCTAACAAAATAAATTGTACCGTATTTATTCCTAACAAAATAAATTGTACCGTATTTATTCCTAACAAAATAAATTGTATCGTATTTATTCCTAACAAAATAAATTGTACCATAGTTTTTTACCATAAAAGGATCCCAAACTTCCAAGACCTGTTGTGTTTATATTAAAGAGAATGATTTTAAAAAAATGTTTAGGATGAATTCTTTTGATAAAAACAAAAGAATAAATGCATACCAAAAAAATCTAACTTTTTTATTTTAGTCAAAGCTTGTCTTCTCCGTTTTGTTGTAGGCCAAAATATCAGCATAATATACGCTGCAATCTAAAGACTTGATAATTTATTCAAGTGTGTTTTATTCCTTAGTGTTTAATTACATGGCGTCATTGATACTTTTGTTTACATAATCGATCTCTTACGCAGGCAAAAAAAAATCAATGATGTTTTGTACTGAAACTGTTAGGAATAAAATGCACTTGAATAAATAATCATGTCTTAAGGTTGTGGCGTATATTATACTGACTTTTAGGCTCACAACAAAACAGAGAAGGCAAGCTTTGACTAAAATTAAAAAAATAGTTTTTCTTGGTATATATATATATATACATACATATACTATACTCATATATATACTTTTTAGAATATTATAGAATTTTCATTACTCATCTATGAGTATAGTATATATATGTAGTAGTAGTAGTAGTAGTAGTATATATATATATATATATATATATATATATATATATATATATATATATATATATATATATATATATATATATATATATATATATATATATATGTTTTTTGAGAGAGTTTGTTATTAATTGAAGATTAGTATCATCAGCAAAATGTTTTTGAATGTTTGATAGAAAGATTGAGATCATTAATATAGATAATAAAGAGAAGAGAACCTAATATGGATGCTGGTAAGAACCTAATATGGATGCTGGTCATTAAATTTTTAATGACCAGCATTAGAAAAAATCGTAAACTCTGTTTTCATCACTTAATAGTTTTAATTCAATAAAAAAATATCTATGTTGATCTTGAAATAATGATATAAAATCTCTTAATGAAACCAAATTAATACTATTTTTTTTTGTTTGTTTTGTTTTTATAATTATTAAAAATTATGATTTTAACTTTGATTTTTTAAGTAATTTTATTTATCATAAGATAAAACAGGAAAAGTAAAGCATACAGTACGATGTAATATTAATAAAACAGCTGCAAATCACAACAGTCTAAAGCAAATTAGCAGTGATCAATTATTTTAAATAAAAGAAATTGCAAAACAAGATATAAAATACATTTATATATTATTTAAGACTTGTTCAATATTTTTTTATAAATGAAATATAACTGTCAATTGAATGTTCATAACTCTCTGATGTGGATGTTTAAAATTAAAGTCAGAGGAAGTTTAAAATTAAAGTAAGAGGAGGTTTTAATTAAAGTAAGAGGGGGTTTTAAATTAAAGTAAGAGGGGGTTTAAGATTAAAGTAAGAGGAGGTTTAAAATTAAAGTAAGAGGGGGTTTAAAATTAAAGTAAGAGGAGGTTTAAAATTAAAGTAAGAGGGGGTTTAAAATTAAAGTAATAGGGGGTTTAAAATTAAAGTAAGAGGGGGTTTAAAATTAAAGTAAGAGGGGGTTTAAAATTAAAGTAAGAGGAGGTTTAAAATTAAAGTAAGAGGGGGTTTAAAATTAAAGTAAGAGGGGGTTTAAAATTAAAGTAAGAGGGGGTTTAAAATTAAAGTAAGAGGGGGTTTAAAAACTAATTTAAACTACTTATAGTTATTTTAAAACAAAATTTAAAAAAAAAAAAATTTTTACTATCAACTCTAAAAACTTATTTTAAAGTATATCTTTTTATTATTCTTTTTATTATCAATTAGTTAATTTCTAATTTTAAAGATTAAAATTTTTTTAATAATAATTCCTCAAAGTTTTCCCCTAAGCAAAATATCGATTTTGTTGCTTCATGCAATGCCCAAATAGCTTTAGTACAATTTTTTATTGGTCGATTTTTAAAAAGCTATGCAAAATTTGGGGGCCTTTAATAATTATTATTTGTTTCCTACAACTTTTTATTGCTTTTTTTAATGCTTAAATTACCTGCTGTTTAGTTAAAAAAAATTTGCAGTTTAAATATTTAAGTTTTGACTGTTATTATCTTTGCAGTAGTAAATTTATTGTTTTGTTTTTTCATTAATTTTTGCAATATGATTGACCGTTTCATTTAAACAGTGTTCATAGTTTTTTATAAACTAATAAATTAAAGATCCAAAAATATTTACCGATATCATTATCTGCTATCACTTAATTTGATCTTTAGTAATGCGATAGTGGTGTAGTGGTAGAGCGCTCACCTTATAAGTAAGAAGTTCCAAGTTCAATCCCCACCACGTCCCTGGTAGTACTACACCTAACTTGTTTCTCCGCGCAGCAGCCTAGTTTGTCAAGGTTCATGTTTAGGAGTTATAGAGTTGAGAAAGGGTTGTAACCACAACTAAAGTAGCCTCCTTGACTGTAGTGGCCTTCATGGCCTTGGGAAGGTGAATTGAAATAAAAAATATATATATGCATATATAATATATATTTTATATTTATATTTATTATATATATAAATTTTTGTTTAATAACCAATGAATAGTAATTAATGTTTTTGTAAAAAAATATTTTTTTCTAATATTTCAGATATCAATTTAAATCTTCAGGAACTTGGTGTATCAGTACATGCTGTTACGGGAGCATTAAAAAATTTTTTTAAATTGCTGCCAGAACCATTGATTCCATATGAAATATCAAGCAAGATTCACGAAATAATGAGTAATTTATTTTATTGTTCTATTTGCTCTTTCTATATTGCTATATATTTTTCTAATGTATTAAATTAAGTTGGGAAATAATACTTTAATTGAATTAACCGAAAACTGAAGTGTTTCCATTTGTAATAATGTATTATTAAGTTTCTCAAAAAGATAAAAATTTTATATTCTTATATTTTATATATTGAATAAAAGATTTTTAAAAATTATTTTTTCTCTTAAAAGCTTGTCAATTTAACTTGACCTTCAAAACGACTTTTGATCTCCCAAAATCTGTTCTTACCAGTCAAGGATAGGTTAAAAATCTGTTCTTACTGGTCAAGGATAGGTTTAAAAAATAAGTTTTTACAAACAGGTTTTCAATAATAAGGTTTTACAATTTCAATATTTTTTAAAACATTAAAAATACTTTAGACTGAACTACTTTGAAAATCTAAAATATTTTTATTGTTTATGATAATGCATATTGCAAACAATAAAAATTACGATAAGCTTCTTTTAATTCACTTTGTTGGTTCATCATATTACATATGGCGCAAGCTATATATATATATATATATATTTTTTTTTTAACCATTTGTCTTTAGTTTCACTTCATAATAAAATCAACTGTTGCTTTTGCTAGGTTAAAATTTTTATTTTTTTAGTTTAATTAACAACAGAATTTGAACTGTTTTTTTGTTGTTGTTTTTTGTTGTTTTTTTTTCATTCAATTTTTACATTCAATTTTTTCCTTAAATTTTTTCAATAAACCTCTTAAATATTTGCCATAATTTGTGAAGTTATTTTCTGTTGTTAATTAAAAACAATTTTTGAATATTTTGCCATCATTTATGAACAAATCATTAAATTTCATTAAATCTTTTCAAACAACCTGTTAAATTTTTGTCCCCTTTTTTTGACATTGTTGCAATAAATGAAAATTTTTTAAAATAATATGTAGTTATCATTAGCTCATTTTTTCTATTAAATTTGTTATCAAACAAACAAAAAGAAAATCTAATCAAGATGACTAAAATGAAACAACGCCTCCTCATTTTTATTTTTGTTTTTTAGAAAAAAGGTTGAAAAAATTAAAAAAAAGATTTAATTTGATTTGTAATACTAATTTATTTAATTTTTAACATATTTTATATTAACTTAATTTATTTTTTGAATGCTAGAAAACCTACTGCGCTTTATTACACTTCATATCATCATTGCATGTTATTATTTCATATTTTTTTTCAGCTTCATTGCTATTTAAAAACAATAATTGCTCAAACATTGTAATAAAATTTAAAAATAATATTTTCTTAAGATTTAGGGCATTTAGGGTATTAAATTGCAAAAATTTTAAGCATTAGGTGGGAATAAATTGCACAAATATTTTTAAATTAAATTTTCTTATGTTGAATTAATAAATTTATAAAAGTTTAATTAAATTATTATAGAAATTTAAAAAAAAGTTAAAGTATCTAAAATTACTTTGATGATAAAACCACCATATTTAATTTAATAAAATGCCTCGTGAATAAGACTTATTTGACAGACCTTATTTTAATTTGATAAAATGCCTCGTGAATAAGACCTATTTGACAAACCTTATTTTAATTTGATAAAATGCTTCGCGAATAAGACCTATTTGACAAACCTTATTTTAATTTGATAAAATGCCTCAAAAAATAAAACACTACCATCAGATCAATATGACCATCAACATTACCATCCTACAATCACTAACACTACCATTGAATCGCTATTACAACCAACTAGAGTTGGTAGTAACTGTGGTAATTGTGAAAAAAAACTGCCTTCAAACTATCATTACCATTATCACTACCATCAGACCAACGTTACCTTCAGACTCTACCACAAACCACATGGATAGGTGATCTGAGATATGACTTTATTAATTATATAAACTTTCATTATGTTTAAAAATTAATGATTACTCTTAAGAACTTTTTAAAAAAAATTTGTTTAAAAAAATTTTTATCGACAAAATCTCTATTTGTTGAGAGGTCTAATTCTTATTCTCACTTTTCGATATGATCAAGATCACCTTTTTAAAAAGATCTTCCTATGCATAGCTTTTTATTTTAGTTTCTTTTCTTCTAATTTTCTTTTTTGAGTTTGGAGCGGGTTTTTAAATTATTTCTTTACAGTTTTACTGAGAACTTTTAAACTGTTTAAACTACTGTTTAAAGGTCATTGCTTTTTCCACAATACTTCTTTTTAACTTTGTTTTTGCTGAGAGGTTCTGAGTGTCAAAATACATGTGTTTATGATGTTGTTGTGCATATGGTAACAAAGCTTTTTCCAGTCAATATTATAAGTTTAAAAAGTTTAGCACTTGTAGCCACATTAGTAAAAGTCCATATAAACCTTTGTTATAGTAAAATTGATTAAAAAATTAAAGAGACGGTGATATAATATTAAAAATGTAATTAATTCAAACAATTAAAAAATTAGAAACAATTTCTAAAAAAATTTAAAAAATACTTTGACATACTTATTGCAATTTATTATTTATTTTATTATTATTTATTACTGAAAAATAAATATTATTTATTACTTAAAAATAAATTATTTCTAAAAAAAAAAGAAAAGGTCTTTTGTTAAATTGTGGTGTAAAAAATATTTAAAATGATTGTTGCTTGCTTTCATTTTTCTAACTTTAACAGATTTTCAATAATGATTTCTTTACCCTAACCCAAAACAGTAAGCCGGTACTTGACCCTACCCTAAACCTAAGTAACCCTATCCTTGATCCTAACTCTAAACCAGCTTTAGTGTAGCAGTTATAGCGCTTTAGCTTGCAAAAGAAGAAAGAAATCCAGGATTAAATGCAAGCTCAGGGCATGTTCTGCGTCATCACTAAGGAGAGCATTAACTTCCTAGTTAAATATTTTTCTGAGATGCTCTGACAAGACCGTTAATTTTTTTCGGACACCTATATAATCCACAAATATGAAGTCATTGTTTATGGTAAGCTGTTAGCATACTAAAAACCTCTACTTGTTTCTTTGTACAAAATTTTTTTGAAGATTTTTAAAGAGGTTTTCTTAGATAAATCATTTTACAACAAAGATTTATTATTATTAAAACATTTTGAATTTGCAAAACCATTGCGATCATCTAATGAATAAAAGAAAACTTAAAAAAAACTATTTTAGAGTTAAAGTTTTACAGAAAAATTTTAATAATGTTAAATTTACAGGTAAATTTTACAAAAAAAAGATAAAAGTAAATTTTAGAAAAAATGTTTGACGTAAAGTTTAGAAAAAAAGTTAGTAAATTTTTCAAACGAGTTGAGCACGGTACTACAGAAATGTGGTGGGAACTTGGAACTTCGCTCTTATGAAACAAATGCTCTATCACTACATCACTACTGCATTTTGAACATGATATCATTTTGTTAAGTGTTTTATAACAAAAAACATATAAAACAAGTGGAATACTAACAACATTTTATCTCAGGATAAAGTTTACTCACAGATAGCAAAGTTTATAGTTGCAAAACCACATTAAAATGACTTTATTTACTAATAAAATAGTACAAGATAGTAGATAGTTAAGTTTAATTGATGCTGGTTGTTTGAACCATACCATTTTCTGTCCAGAAACTTTTCTATATCATCACCAAATTTTGTATGAGTTGAACACTGTACGCATTTCCGTAGTACCATACTCAACTCGTTTCTAAACCTAAAATATTTTTTATATTAAATCATAAGTTATAATAAATTATCATGAGTTATCATAAATGTGCCTATTTAATTTTGTTTTAATTTTTTATTTTTCATAATTAAACATCTTATAATTATTTAGAGGTTTACATACTTTTCTTTAGTTATTATGGATGCTGCTGTTAGATTAGAAAAGTTGAGAGAATTAGCAATTAAAATTCCACAGCCAAATCAAGAAGTGTTTAAAAGATTTATGTGTCATTTAAAGAGGTATGTCTTTTAAAAATGAAATATATAAAAATATATATTTTATATAAAAATATTTATATTCATTTTATATTACCTGTTTTATTGAATTATATTGATCTAACTTAATGATTCAATTTTTTTTATACCCACTAGCTTTACACTATGAAGAAAGTTAAATATAAAGTAATATAGTTAAATATAAAGTAAATTTATATAACCATTAACACTAAAAACATTTTGTTTATAAAGTTCACATAAAGTTTGAAGTTAATAATTTTTTCTTAGTTTTTTTTTTATTTATTTTATTTTTTTGATGTAAACAATCCAGTTTGTAAAATATTATCATATATTGGTCAGGGTGTAGTGGTAGAGCGCTCGCCCCATAAGCGAGAAGTTCTAAGTTCGATCTCCACCATGTCCCTGGTAATACCGCGCTAAACTTGTTTTTCTGCACAGCGGCCTTGTTCGTCAAGGTTCGTTTTTCCTAGTTATAGAGTGTGTGTGTATATATATGTATATATATATATATATATATATATATATATATATATATATATATATATATATATATATATATATATATATATATATATATATATATATATATATATATATATATATATGTTATCATATGATATCAATCTTTGAAAATTAGAAATATTTTCACTATATGATAAATTTCATGTGTTTAATATAATTAGTGTCTGATTCTATTTATCACCTAATGTTCTATTATCAGCAGGAGTGCAGAGTCTTAAAAGTGTCACCAAATTTGAAAGTCACAAGATGAAAAGTCAGATGAAAGTCACAAGATTTCTTTCTTGTTTTTGGTATTTAGGAGCTTTTGTATTTAGGAGCTTCAAAAATGTAGAGAAAACTTTTATGTTAGGAGAATAATCAAAATTTGAACCTTGAAGGTTTCAAGTTACATAACCTCATACATTTTTTCTTATCATAGATCTTAAGTCACTCAATGCTTATAGAACTTCTCAACATCAGGTACCAAGAAAAAATAGATATTTAAAGCCAGAGTGAAACATGGAGTATGGTTTTTGCATTCTGATGGATTGAACTAATTAAATTAAATTAATTAATTTGGAGAGCTCATACCATTGATCAGAAAAAACTGGTTTGATTTATGTTAAAAATGTGTTGGTTTAAAATGTTTTTGTTGGGTGAAAAAAATGGTTCTGATATGAAATTGTTGCGCAAGATGACGAAAACTATGGGGTTTAATGAGATATAAAAACTATCAAAGTTTTATTTTGGGGAAAACAAGTTATTTTATCTATTCATCAAGATTTAAATCATTAAACGCACACACACACACATACACACACACACGCACACACACACACACACAGATTGAAAAAATTACTTTTTTTCTTATTTTAAACACTGAAGCAACTAAAAAATTTGTTTATTGGCTGCTAAATTATGAAAGAAAGTTTTAAAAAATATGAACTTTTTTTTGCAGTTAGCTCGATATGTTTTTATAAATAGTTAAAATTGGAAAAAACTTTTATATGATTTGAAAATATATATAGACAAATATAGTAAAGATTCAATCAGATGATTTGATTTGATTTAAGATTTGATGTTTAAATTTCCGAATTGCAGGCGCCTAGTATAACATGATAAATAAATAAATAACTTAACTATAACAAATGTTTTTGTATGGTATAACAAAGTTTATAACTAACTTAACCTTTGTAACTAATTTAATTTTTAATTAAAAATATAAATTAAAATTGATGTTTTTGTGGTTATAATGGTCATGTACTAGAAATGTACCAGAATAAAACAACACTTTTTTTTTGCACCTCTGTAACTCTGGTCAGAACCGGCTTCGAACCACAGACAACATCTTGCCAATTTGAAAATACATTATTGTCATTATTCATGGGTACTCCCTTTAATTTCTTCTCAGGCCCACAATAATGTAATGTTTTTAGGCTATTAAAATAAGGAACTGATGGTTGATATGATGGTAATCAAAAAATATTTTCTATTATGTAGAGTCCTAGAATCTATTATTTTACTAGCTTGCATTTAATGAAGTTGAGATGTTTTCACACTGTGTATATTAAACATATATATGTATATTGTGTAAAATGTATATACATTATAAAATTTATAAATAGTTAAATATAAAGCATGCGATCGTTAAATTTGGTTTTGAACGATGAGAAATTAAAAATAATAATAGTAATAATTAAATCAATGCAACAACTTCAATATTTATTTCAAAATTAGAAACTTGAAGATAATAAAAATGCTTTTTAATTTAATATTTTTCATTATTTCAAATAAATAAGCGAACATTTACGCTGATCGACGACATCAACTTCTGCACAGTGTCTTTTTTTCTTACTAATGTTTAATCTTTAATCAAATTTTAGCTGGGCTTATTATTTTGCCATTCTTACGCAAAAATCCTTTGTCAATTTTTCTCTAAAATTTCTCAATAAGACAGAACTGTGGGCAGTTTGGTGGATTCAAGCTTTTTGGTATGCATTTGATGTCTCTAATTGTACCACTCTACGGTCTTCTTAGAATAATGACAAAAAGCAAGATCAAGCCAGAACCAACAGGGGACATTGTGACTTCGATAAAATGGCAAAAGTCTAGCTTGCAACCATTTCTTGATATAAACATCCAAGTTTTAAGTGGATGGTGTGACGAAAGCTAGAGATCTCAAAACGCAGCTGCATACTGCTCGCCACAAAAGAAGTTTCTTACCAAATTTATCCAATAATTTAAACTTAAACTTGTACCTAACACGTCCACGAACAATTGAACCTAGAAGCTGTTTGAAGTCACATTTGATGTATGTTTCGTCATCCATAATTATGCAGCCATTGAATTGTGTAAGCACTTTGTCGCATAGTTTTCACGTTCGAGTTTTAGTAGTCAGTGATTGCTTCTCTAATCGGTTTGGATACTTAATGGCTCAATAAGACTAGAAATAGTAAAATATCACAACTTTCCTGACGAAAAACTCTGAGACTTTTGTTCTCTGTACGATAAGCCGGGATTTTGCCTGAATGATCGAAAAACTAATTGCTGCTTCCTTACCACTCTTTCTTCCAGATCCTTTTGCTCATTTTATAGATAGAGAGCTCTTCTATCGTTTTATGATCATATAAACAGTAGTTTTGTTTGATTCAGATGCTTTAGCGGTTGAATGTAACGATGCAGAAAGATTTTGTAGATATATGTGCTGAATTTTTTTTCTTTTTTATAACTGTTTCAATGACATTTTAATTAAGAGAAATATTTTGACTTGTTTGTTGGTGTTTTTAATTAATACAATCATTACTTAATGTAATTATGCAAAAAACAAAAATTTAAATGTGTTAGTGACAAGTTTTAAAACGAAATTCGTCTTTCCGAATTTCAACGATCGCATGCTTTAAGGAAGAAAAAAACTTAAAAACCAAAATGTGCTATTTAATGTACATTTTCAAGTAAACCTTCAAATTAATCGTAAAATATGCATTAAATTTTATTATATTCAATTTAAATTTTTAGAGTATCACTATACACTAAGTTCAACAAAATGGACGTACGTAATTTACAGATAATCATTTATCCAACATTACTTCGTCCTGTTTTTGAATCACTACAAAATATGAGTCAAAATATGAATATGGGCTTGTTTATACAAACTTGCATTGAACAGTCAGACAAAATTTTTGACGATGACTTGCATCAGAAGTTGAATGTAAATGATAATGGGACAAGTAATGATAATGACAGTGAAGGAGATTATACAGAACCTTCGTTTTCCGAGTGTGTTTTAAGTGAGCCATCAGTTGGAAAACTTATGAATCCAGTAGCAGAAGAGAATGATTATAAGATAATTGAAGTTCCTACACGGATTGAGAAGCTTAGTCTACAATTAGAGCTAGTTCCACAATACAATGAAGAAAAAGACAATATTTTAAATTATTCTTTGCATTCTAAACTAGTACCATTAAGTAAATCAAATAGTGTTCCTAATGACCAAAATTCTAAAGATACAAAAAACATTAATAGAAAATCTATTGAAACTGCAATTGACTGAAACCGCAATTTTCAAAATTATCAAAGTTCACAAATAAATGAATGCAATTATTTCATTTTGCCTTCAACAATTAATAAGTGGATGTCAATGTGATAAATACTAAAGACTCCACATAGAAATGCTAGTCGTATAATCATGTCGTAATCGTAGTCGTATAATCATGGTTTATGGTTAGCAGAACAATAAAAAATGACCAAGGTCAATCAATATTCACGAACATTTTTTAAACTTTGTGTGTAAATTTCATTGACAAGAATTTCTAATAAAATTCATTCCCTTAAAGACAAAATATGTGCATTATTTAACTTATTGTAACGTTATTCTTGTTTATGTTATGTTTGTTTCTAATTGAAATAGCTTGTCTGTTGTTGTTTTGTTTTGATTTTTTGTTGTTGTTTTTTTTTGCGACATTCTACTTTTTAATTCTTTAAAAAGAAATGAATTTGCAATCTCAAGATATTCTTCATTTCTATATTTTTTTATATTTGTATCCAACTGTAAATTTTACTTAATCATACTTTTTTTAATCTCTGTTATATTTTTTAATCTCTGTTATATTTTTTATATTATGTGTATTTTGCTTTTGTATAACAAATGTTCTCCACAATAAGTGTTATATAGTTGAAATAAGTAATAAATTGAAATATAGTTAAAATATTCTGAAACTTTTTTAATTTACTTTTTTTTTTCTTAGTTTTATTTTTTAAATGTTTTTACTTTTTTTGTTTAACATTTTGTTACTAGATGTTTTTTTGTTACTATGGTTACTCGATATTTTTTGATTGGTGTGAATTGTTACTTAAATTTTAATAGTGATAGTGTTTTTTCTTTTATTGTTCTGAAATCGAATTTTCTTTTTATGTTCATATATATATATATATATTTATATATATATATATATATATATATATATATATATATATATATATATATATATATATATATATATATCTGTGTGTGTATACATATGCATATATATGTAAATATATATATATATATATATATATATATATATATATATATATATCTGTGTGTGTGTATACATATGCATATATATGTAAATATATATATATATATATATATATATATATATATATATATATATATATATATATATATATATATATATATATATCTGTGTGTGTATACATATGCATATATATGTAAATATATATATATATATATATATATATATATATATATATATATATATATATATATATATATATTTAAATATATATGCATATGTATACATATACATACACGCACATATACATATATATATATATATATATATATATATATATATATATATATATATATATATATATATATATATATATATATATATATATATATCTGTGTGTGTGTATACATATGCATATATATGTAAATATATATATATATATATATATATATATATATATATATATTTAAATATATATGCATATGTATACATATACATACACGCACATATACATATATATATATGTATATATATATATATATATATATATATATATATATATATATATATATATATATCATATAGCTATATATTATAAATAATATATATATGGTCAAGATTTATAGTCAAATTTGCTTTCTTAATTATTTCTCTGAAATAATTAGGGAAGCTAATTGGTTTTACTAGAAACTAGAACGAAGATATATGCATATGTATACATATACATACACGCACATATACATATATATATATATATATATATATATATATATATATATATATATATATATATATATATATATATATCTGTGTGTGTATACATATGCATATATATGTAAATATATATATATATATATATATATATATATATATATATATATATATATATATATATGTATATATATATATTTAAATATATATGCATATGTATACATATACATACACGCACATATACATATATATATATATATATATATATATATATATATATATATATCTGTGTGTGTGTATACATATGCATATATATGTAAATATATATATATATATATATATATATATATATATATATATATATATATATATATATATATATATATATATTTAAATATATATGCATATGTATACATATACATACACGCACATATACATATATATATATATATATATATATATATATATATATATATATATATATATATATATATATATATATATATATATATATATATATATATATATATATATATCATATAGCTATATATTATAAATAATATATATATGGTCAAGATTTATAGTCAAATTTGCTTTCTTAATTATTTCTCTGAAATAATTAGGGAAGCTAATTGGTTTTACTAGAAACTAGAACGAAGATATATTTTTTTATTTAGTTATGTTCTTTTAATTATTTTACTCTTATATTTCTTTTATTGTTTTTAATCGTAGTCGAGTGTAAATACATTGACTATAGATTTTCGTATGGCAGATAATTCAAATCTGATAATTCAAAGTGAAATCTTTAAATTTTTTAAATTTATATTTCAGGTTTTAAGCTATCAAAAAAGTATTTTTAATTTATAAAAAGTATACTAGCTTTTTTTTTTTTTTTTTTTTTTTTTTGTGTTGTTTTTAGAACATTTTTTTTGAAGTTATAGGTTTATTGCTTTCTAATAATATTAATTGCTTTCTAATAATATTAACATTTGGTCGCAAAAATAAAACTCAGTTATTTGCTGCTAATACTTGTTGCAACAACATGTTGATATTCCTATATATTGATAAGTAACAATAACATTCTTACTCAGTCCCTTACTATTGGATCACTAACTTAATAGGAACCTTAAAACCGATTGCAAAGTTTTTGCTAAAATTGTTTTTATCGTGCTCTGATTTAACTCTTTTCCACTTTTTCATCCTCAAATAAAACTTTCTACCCAGTTTTATTTAATTAATTTATTTTTCCATCTAATTTAATTATTTATTTTTCCATCCAATTTTTTTCTATAAATTTCAGAAGAAAAAAAATTAATTAAAAAAAAACGATATTTTGCCATAATATGTCATCTGTAGAGAAGTCACGAATAGTGATTTTGCCCGTATACCAAATAATCGACCAGGCACTCGGCTGAAGCACCGAATTTTTGAAAAACACTGATCTCTATAATAAGTTATTATAGAGATCAGTGTTTCTCACTACTTATATATTGAGGAAACGTCACTCAATTTAAATGGTGTGTTGGTATAGCCACCCTATACCATTTTTAAAAAATCTTTGCCTGCCATAAACTCAAGTTTACATTATTGACGTTCGTCAATTCCATTTCTAAACTTTTTGAAATTTGGTAAAACAAAATAGGACAGACTCCCGCATTCAGCGTATAGTTCGCCTGAGAATTTTAAGCGGAATGACTGGCTGTTGTCAAATCGCGTTATTAGAATTACCTTGTTTTCTCTCCACATTTTAAGCCCTGAGATAAATAGTTAAATAATAAAAACTTGAGGAGACGGCATATAGAAAAATCTTTTTAACTTACGTTTAAAATAGCTATTAAAATTAGAACACATTTAAATGTGGTAAAAGGTCACTATCATCAGTTTATATAACTTCAAGTTAGTGAAATTTTCAATACTACGAAAGACTAAATCTACCATCACTTGAGATTTGGCGTCTACGATGCAATCTTATCCAAATCTTTAAACTAATACATCGATTTGATATAAATAATGACTATATATAATAACAATAAATAAACTTTCTACTCAACTGTACTTTCTTTTAAAATAAGACTAGGGGTGCAATGCAAGAAGCGAACTTGAGTGAAGTTTGACTTGAACTTTGAAGTATGACTTAGTCAAGTTAAACTTAAAAAAAAAACTTGAGCAAATTCGTGAACGAAACTTGAAAATTTCAAGATCGCGGTTGAGAAAGTCAAACTTGAAATGCTTAAAAGACGTTGATTTGAAGGCGCAATCGGAAAAAAAAAACTTTGCAACCAATAGCGGCAGAGTATTTGAAATGGGAAAACCTTTTAAATAAAGCAATATAACTATATATTTTTAAATAATATTTCTCAGCTTTATATTTTAAATTATGTAAGTTAAATTATTAACTTACAAAAGTAAATTAATAACTGTTGCAAAAACAATAAATTCATTTTTTGTATTTTTATTAAAACTTGGTAATTTATTAAAAAACACTATTAAAATGAACATGCTCGAGCAACCTTCTATTTAGTCCAAGTCTCTACGACGTAACATCTGATTAAATCAAATGGCATATATGCTATGCGGTTATACCAAAGCATATATGTCGAACACAAGGTTTTTATTATTTAATTCTCTTGTTAAAATTTAAAAAAATTAAACTCTTTCAAGACTGAAAGCAAACACTAATAACGTTTGAAGTTAACGGAAAATTAATTTTAAAATATGACAACAGTTTTCAATACCAGAACAAGTATAATATTTATAGATATAGAAAACAAAATTAGTAGAAGAAACTGGTTACGACAGAACCTATTTTTGTTACAATGGTTAACAAGTCAGCAATAAATTGATAGGGTCAAAATCTGTATAGATCAGTGGTGAATCCAGCATTTTATGGTCTTTGAGATAGCTTCCAGACATTTTATGGTCTTTGAGATAACTTCCAGACACGAAGCAAGCTCCAAACAATTATATGTTTGAACTTATGTCAAATTAGGATGCTTTGAAAAAAATTGCCCCTCAGTTGGAGCTGACTTGTATCATTGAAGTGACAAGAAGAGTATGGCTATTTGGTCAATATCTGAATTAGAGAAAACATTTTTTGCATCTATTTAGCTTATTATATAAACAATTAATTTCGGCTAAACAAACCTATTTATTTTTTGAATTTTAATGAAAAAGAGGAAAAGAAGACTGGTGAAACTGGCCTGAATAAACTGTAATATCCTAACAAGAGACAACGTTTTGCAAATATTGCCACAAAATCATTTAGTTCTATTTTAAAATTTTATGGGGATAATGCAATTTTGGAATTTAAATTATTTAAGTTTTAAAAAACTTAATATTGATAGTACATTTTAATATTGATAGTACATGTTAATATTAAAGAAAAAACACTTCCGCAATTCAAATCTAAATTAAGACGTTATTTAGTACTTACGGATTTTAATATAGCAGATCTTCAATGTCACTTTTAAAGCTTTAAAATTTATTAAACTAAATTAGCACCATAAATTTAAAAATCTAGACCATTTAACAATACTAAGAATTTCAATGTCTTTATCATACTTTCATTAAATATATATATATTCTCTTAAAGTTACCTACAATTTTCTTGATATATTTTATAATATTGGAACAGAATTTTTATTTGAATTTTGAATTGTTTTGAAAGAAAATAATATATACAAATATATATGTCGAATCACATCCAATTTATATCCAAAAACAGAAAATTTTTGTCATTTTTATTACTATATTTTAATCCTTTCTTTTTATTTTTTTTATTTTTCTTCAATTATTTTAATCCTTTTTTTTTTTTTTTTTTTTTTTTTCTTTTTAACTTTGTTTCTTAACATTTTAAATTGTCTTTTTTTAAATACTTTTGCTTATATATTACGGATTATTGTATATTACGGATAGTTATTTGCGTTACTATTGGGGCTCGGCGATAAGGGTATTTTATGCCTTCTTCTTGCTCCAGCCTATTGTACTTTTTATATTGTTGTAAATATTTTTAACGGCGAAATAAACTAATAAACTAAAAAAAAATTTTTTAGGATATAACTACTGCTATAAAACAAACTTAAATTTTTTTCTAGTTTATTACATATAGCATTTTATCAGTATTATTATCATTATTATTATTATTATAATAATAATAATAATTATTATATATATATATATATATATATATATATATATATATATATATATATATATATATATATATATATATATATATATATATATATATATATATATATATATATATATATATATATTAATTAATCAATATTATTATATAACAAATGACCAAATAAGTCACAGAAGTTCATATTTGAAGTAAGGTCTTATAATACTATCAGAAAACTTGAGGTACCAGAAAAGCCAAAAAGATAACAAAATTATTATGACATTAAAAAAAAATTTTATAAAAATATTGACAAGTTAGGGGCTGTCCTTTAATTACGTCAACAATTTTTTTGAAATTTTTACCTCCCCTTGCTCCCCCTTGTCAACAATTTGTCAAATTTTCAGAGACCCCCACCCCCATATATATTTATAAAATTACCCCGTATAAAATTACGTTAATTTTTATTACCCCCCCCCCCCCCACCATACAAAGAAGCTACGCTACAAACTCAGCCAATTTTTTTGTTATTTAAGCAATGAAACTCAAAAAAAAAATAATTGTTGACATCAAATTTAATTGACCTTCCCCCTCCCCCTTGTCAACAATTGTCGAAAAAGGTCAGACCCCCTCCCCCTATTTTGTTGACGTAATTAATGGTTAACCCCTTACATATTAATACACCAATTTTAATAAACACAAATATAAGGATTTCAGATTGAGTTCTTTATTTATTTTGTCAATAAAAAAGATTTTCTTTGTTGATGCTACTATTGTTATTAGTTTTTGCTTTTATTATTTGATAAGTTAAGTATTTATAAAAAGAATCGAGTCACTACTCTAATTTTCCCTACAAAACCTCTCGTCGATGCCTTGGATCCATTTTCCTCGTTACAATTATACATTTAATCGTTTACCTAAAGATCATTTTGTTAAAAGGCAATGTTGTGATCAAAGCATGATACAATGTCTATAAAATTTTTTGGTTTCATTTGTAAAGCGTATTGCAAATAAATTCCCAAACAATATTCCATGGTCACACCAGTGCTGACAATATGGGGTGTTGTCCCCTATAACATAGACGTGCAGATAAGCTTCTAAAACCTGTTTAGTTGAGTTGGTAAAATCTTGTGATCCGTGAACACATTTAGTCCATTAAATACAAGCAGAAAAAAGTTCTTTTGAAAGACCTTTAATTATTTGGCAGTTCAAAGAAAAATGTCCTTTTCTGTTTTGATCCATTTCTGCAATTTCTGCCTCAGGACTTGTTATAGGATAAGTTTCATTAATTGCTCCAATATTTCCTGGAAATCGTCAAAGTTCGTAAAATCTAAAAAATTATAAATACTGTTTATATATATAAATAAAACTTTAAATTCATAAAAAGATGCAATAGCTGATATATATCCTCTATAGTACTACACACACACACACACACACACACACACACACACACACACACACACACACACACACACACACACACACACACACACACACACAAACACACACAGTGTATATAGTATAACTTATATTTATAAAATTATATAAAGTATGTATATAACAGGGACACTATACTATGCAGTCTTAGTCATTTATATAAAGATATTTAAAGTTTCATATTTTATATCAAAATATTTAAAGTTTCATATTTAAAGTTTCAGCTCATAAGGCCATGTGTAGCAGGATTACATTGAACTCGATTTTTTTAATTTTTTGGCTTTTTACGAAAAACATTACTTTTTTTTCAAAAACATAGTTTTTTTTAAATAAACTCAAAATTGATAGCAAAAAAAAAAAAAAGAATTAAAAACTAGTCTAAAAAAAATTAAAAAATATTAAAAAAAAAAAGTTTTTCATTTGATAAAAAATGAATTTATTTAAATAATAACAATTACAAATCACTATTTTCAGGTTATCAGTTTGTCCGATTCTTATTTTGTACTTCTTTTTTTGAATTTTTAAAAATTTTTATTTTATTTTCCGATTTTTTGCGTGGCAACTACCTTTTTTTTTGTAACATTAGCAGGCATCCTTTTTCTCTCCTTTTTTTGCTACAAGTATCACATTTTGCCTTTGATCTTCTGATTTACTTCCAAAGAAAAAATCTTGAATAAGCCGAATATTTCTCTCGGTGCAGTCATTTGTTACTCGCATGTTTTTCACAAACTGAACAAACTTTCTATAGCTTTCCAAATCATCCCAGCTGCCAGAATCTCCCTTAATCCATCAAGAAACATCTTGTCTTAGAAACACCAACAATGTCAAAAAGGATCCAGCTTTCTGGACCCATAAGGTTAGGAAGAGTCGAATTACAGTCCAAATTATGTGAAATGTGGACTTCATATATATGATGCCTAGATAGAACCTATAGGATGTTAGATTTAGTAAGAGGATGATGTAAGATTTAGTAGTATTATTAAGAGCTGCTATAGCTCCATGGTTACCAGTATTGCAACTGGTTGTATCTAAATAAACTGCAAAAACCTGATCTACACAATCATAGTATTGAAGAATGTTAAAAATCTTCTTTGCCTGAATTTTTCCTTTTGAATTTTCAATTATGTGAATACCTAAGAGAATGTCTTCTGAATCCAGAGCGTCTGGCGTAGGTACACTTAATGCTAGTCTATCATTTGTGACAGAGATATTTTTCTGTTCACAAATTTGCTTCACAAATTTGGTGTCAATGTGTAACATTAATCTTTTGCATTTTAGTTTATCCATGGTCTTATTTCTAATAAAATCACCTTGTTTCTCAATTCTAACATATTGGTTTTTATGAAAAGTTGATAGAGAGATATTAACATTATCAATATCAACATTGGCAGCATTAAGGATATAGTTAGCATATTGTAATGACCTCTATGACTGATGTTGTAGCACAAGCAGATGTTAACATTATCAATATCAACATTGGCAGCATTAAGGATATAGTTAGCATATTGTAATGACCTCTATGACTGATATTGTAGCACAAGCAGATGTTGCTTCAATAAGTTTTTCAGCAGTAAGCTCTATGAGAATCTTATTGTTTTTCTATCTACAAAAAATATGATTAGACTCTGAGATATCTGAATCATATTCAGAAACTGAATACTCAGATGTTATATCTTCATTTTCAGAAACCTTAGTTTCCTATGTAACAAAAAACTATTATTCTGAACTCGGTCTCTTTTTCTCTTTTTCTCTTTCTCTTTCAATCTGATTTAATTTTGCAAGCTTCATCTAAATAAAAAGAAAATGGTTAAAGAAACAGCAAAATTAATAAAATCTTTTTCTACTGGCAAAATAAATTATCGCTTCTTCTATGATTCTTCATGAAAGTTAAGTCTTCTTGAACATTTTTGTGATCTTTATCCTGGCTTATCCTCTGCTTGATATGATCTGGATATGTTGAAAAGCAAATAAAATTCTTCTAAAAACAAATTATGATTTGATTGTGCTTTTTTCTTTGATCGAATTTTTGTCACTTGAAGCAAATTTATGTATTTTTTCTGTATCTTGCAAAGCTTTTTTCTAAAAAATGAGAACTGCTTTTTAGGGGTTCAAACTATGAAAAATATGAAATGTTTAAATGATGAATATGCCATAGAGACAAAACATTTAAAAAAATATAATACATAATATAACCTTATGACTGAACCAGTTTGAATTGCTCCTCCAAATCCTGCTCTCTTTCAAACTCTCTGAACTTCTTTCACCACACAGTTATTTCCATCCTCCCTGTCACAGTTGTTGTCTTTCCAAACAAATCCACCCTGACTTTGCAAATCAAATCCACCGTTTTTCTGAGGACAACCCATATTTTCCTTGCAGCTCTTGAATTTATGGCTTTTGTATGACTGCAGATATAAGTAGAAACTGGCAAAAAATAGTTATATTATGTATTTTTTAAATTTAACTTTGATTAATTTAAATTTGAGTTAAATAAGTTAAAATTAAATAGAATAAATTTACGTAGTCAAATTTTCAAAGATATTAAGTTGTCAAAAGTATTAGAACCATAAACTGTTTCCAATAGTAGGAAGTTCTCTATCTGGTAGACCATTGATGGGATATTTCAGGAGGTAACAAGTTCTCTTTGGATTGGTAGAATAACTATATATTTTTCTTTCAACTTTGTCCGTTTTGTTCAATATTTTATTTAGCTGGAAATAAAACGTAAAGAAAAAACTATTCTGTTTATGCAATGTAGAATTGAATTGGCCGTGACTGATTGTTTGACACTAAATAAACGGGTAAAGTTTTAGTATTTGCAATTTTTTTAAGTAAAAACTTTATAAACTTTATTCCAAAAAAGTACAAAAAAAAACTTTTAATATTAATAAAAATTAAAAAATTTTTATTTTTAACAAAAATTGCAAAAAAGCATCATCAACGTAATCCTGTTAGACTTGTCCTACAGTTCTAAAACTTTAAATTTTTGGGTCAAATGACTAAGATTAGAGAGTATTGTTTTTTTTTTTTTTTTTTTTTTTTTGACACAGGCTAATGTATATTAGTTATAATAATATTTATTTAATTAGTAATATAAATACTTTCTTGCATATAATGAACCAATAGCATAAAATCGTCATACAATTGACAGTTGTTGTACTGGTGAAATGCATTTATAGAGTATAAAATAATGATTCATTAGTATTTCACTTGAATTGATTAAATTAACAAAAATTCTATGAAACTTTTTACCGCCTATTACACAAAATGATAATGGCGGTTTGTTTTTTTTTGGTCGGTACCTAACTAAAAATAACGACTTGAAATCAGATTTTTCAAGTACGACTTCAATTCATTTCAAGTTTATTTTTTGCATAACACTTTAGTCAGAAGTATAACTTAAAATTTCAAGTTTGTATCTTGCATTCGGAAAGATTTTTGCTTTTCAAGTTGGCTTTTCAAGTCTAACTTAAAAACGGCCGGTTTTACGACTCAACTCGAGTTTTCAAGTTAGATTTCGAGTTTAAGTTCGCTCTTTGCATTTGCTCAAGTCAAATTTTATACTTCAAGTATGACTTCAAATTTCAAGTTAGCTACTTACATTCCACCCTAGATCACTGGTTGGTTGGGGATAAAATTTGGAACGAATGTTTGTAAAACTAGTTGTTTATAGTAGGGAATTTTCCCTGCTCCCTTTATGTATATATTGTATATATATTTTATTTTAATAATAATTTCAGATTTTTACAGTGACTTAGTTCATATAATATAATTATAAAATCTACCAATGTTAAATAAAATTAAATAAATAAAATAAAAAACGTTTTCTCCGCAACTTTTTTACTTATAACTTATGTTTCAATACAATAGAAAAACAGTATTTTGAGGTACATAAAACTATCAATTACTCAATTTTTTTATAATATACATATAAAATTATTAAAACAAGGTGTGCTTATGCTTATTTCAATACTTTTGAAAAATGGACACGTGCCCCCACTCACTTTTTTTTAAGGACCTTTCTTTTTTTTTTGAAAATTCTAGATATAATGGCATTTTTTAAGAAATTGACGATATTTGCCCTTCACTTTGAAACCTGTGTCGTCGGCCTTGTAACGCACACATTTTCGAAAAAATTCAATTATTTTTAAACACAAAAACGATGTTTTAATATAACAATTAAAAATATTAAAAAACTATATACATATGTTATCATTAAAATCAAAGATTTTAATGATTGCATATGTATATAAAAAAAGTGCTTTGAAAACTTCGTTTTTTTTAAATTTTTCTAAATAGCTGTTTATGTTTTTTTATGCAATTACTTCATGAATTCGGGATTTCATCGCGTTGCAAAACGTAAACCTGTGTTAATTTTTCTTTTATTGATTTAAATGGTTTAAATTAAAAAAACAAAACACATTTTAATTAAAATTTATTTTAACCATTTAAATGGTTTACCGAGGCAATATGGTTATCTATGTTTATTTTTTAACAAAATCTGAGCCTAATTTAAAGATTGTTCTTAAAGAAAATTTAATCGTGATTTTAAATAACAAAATAAAAAAATAAAAAATTAATTAACTTCATTTGATAAGGTTTTTTTTTATTATTATATATTTTATATTTCGCAAAATAAACAATCATTTTACAATATTTTTTGTAAAAGTTAAAAATTAAATCTTTATATTCTGACAGGAGCAAGTAGAAGACAATGCGTCTTATCACCCTGCTCCTTAGTTCGTGAAAATATCAATAAAGTTTTACGTATTAAGTTCTTAAAATATACGTTATATAAGTTTTATACATATTACAAGTTTTGTACATACTATAACATATTACAGTTCATAAAATATACATAAGTTATAAGATGACTTATAACTTATGTATATTTTATACATAAGTTATAAGTCATCTTATAACTTTTATATTTAGCGGAAAGCGGGGCAACATGGCGAACGTTTTGAAAGCCCTGAGTTATTGCAAAACTATCAGTCGTGAAGCAATAATGCTTTCTCGATATGTTTATGTTATTAAAGCGATTCATTGCCTACTTAAATTTTTAGTTTGCCAACAATTTAAAATAAATATTAAAGTAAAAACTTCATGAATTTGTCGTCTGGTCACGTGACGGGGGCAAGATGACTTATTATGCAATTTTTGCCTCCAATTACTAAAGTAACACAAAATAAACACAATTTGCAAAAAACTACTTCTAAAGAAGTTAAACTTGAAGGATACAATCCATTTTGAGAAACCAAAAGTGAGGTAAGCGCAAAAAGTAAACTTATGCGTATAAAATTGTGTTAATAATATTTAAAAAAACCAATTGGTGTTTTAAAATACAAGATGCAAATACAGTTTAGTTTTCACCTTACTTTAGGATTTTTTGTTGAGTTGTTATATGAAAATCCATCTTGCCCCATTCGCTATGTTGCCCCGCTTTCCCCTACGTGTTAACAAATCGATATATAAATGTTTTTAAAAATACAAAAGAGTGTTTTTATTATTTAAATCTAATAAGTATCGTTTAACTGCTCTTTTAAATAGTTCAATTAAAGTCATGTTTTTTATGTCTCTATTAAGGAAATAGTTCCACAAACATGGTCCTCGACATCTAATTGAGAAGTCTGTTTTTCTAAGGGATGTTGTAAGGATGAGAAAGTTGCCAATGGAATGTCTTGTAGAGTGTTTGTGATTAATTAAGGTGAAATGAGGTTGAAAATATGTTGGAAGCATGTTGTTATTAATTTTAAACATAACAGATTTTGATAGATGTTTAGTTTATAAATATTCAAAACATTAATTTTTTTAAGTAAAGGCTCGGCACATGCATATCTATCTGCATTCAAAGTTAACCGGCTCACTTCCTTTTGTTTGGTATTAATTTTTTTTTAAAAAATGAATAATTACTTGCCCACGCTTTGCAATATTTGGAAAAGATCCCAAGAGCTTTTGAAATGTTGTTTTCCACTAATTGAATATGATTTTTCCAGTTTAAATGATCGTCAAATATTATACCTAGGATTTTCATTGAATGAACTCTTTTTACTTTATTGTTTATAAATAAATCAGGAAGTTTTAGCGGTATGTTATCAGTTTTCGAAGGTTTCGTGAACAGAATGTATTTAGTTTTATCAATGTTTTCGGACAGTTTATTGGCTTTAAACCATTCATTGAGATTAAATAGCTCTGTGTTTACAAAAGAAAAAACAAATTTTAGATTAGACCCCGAAAAAATATTAGTATCATCAGCAAAAAGAACAAAATTAAGGAACTTAGAGGATAAGTGGATGTCATTGATATATAAGAGAAACAGCAGAGGACCAAGTATTGAGCCTTTAGGGACACCAAAACTAATAACTAACTAACTGCGTACAAGTTAAATCATACGTCACATATTGTTTACGATTTTGTAGATAAAACTCGATCCATTTTATATTAGTATTTTGAATTCCATAATTTTTTAATTTATAGAGGAGGATTTCGTGGTGGACAGTGTCGAATGCCTTCGATAAATCAACAAAAACTCCAAGTGTATAATTATTGTCATCAAATCCTTTCAAAATATTGCTAGCCAAATTCATCACAGCATGCTCAATTCAATGATTTCTCCGAAATCCAAACTGTTTAGGATATAAAATATTGTTTTTATCAATGAAGTTATATATTCTATTATACATAATACGTTCGAGAACCTTTGAAAAACAGGAGAGAATTAAGATGGGTCTGTAGTTTGATTCTAAAGAATCGTCGCCTTTTTTTATAAATTGGAATTATTTTAGCAAGTTTTAATTGATCAGAAAAGTCCCCGTTTTTTAATAAAAGTTAAAAAATAATGAAAAGAGGCAATTCGATAATGTCAAAGGCACTTTTCAAAACATTTGCATTAATTTCATCAAAACCTGCACTTTTATTTGTCTGAAGTATGTCAAAGCTGAACGAAGTTCTTCAATGGAAAGTTCCGAATTGTCCATAATAAAATCTGATTTTTTCAAAAAAAACTGGAATGTTTTGCTACTTAGAGAGATTTCTTTGGCGAAATTTTCCCCAACATTTATAACAAAATTATTCATTCTCTCAGCAATTGTTTTTTTATTCAAAATTTCATCTTTATTGGTTTTCAGTCGATTAGGGAGGTTGTTAAATGTAATTTTTGTTTTCCCTGTTATTTCTTTTATTATAGTCCAAGTTTTTTTAGCATTTCCAAATGATTTCTGAAGTAGACCAGAACAGAAGTTTTATTTAGGTTGCTTTTTTATTTTTTCGAAATAGTTTTTGTATTTTTTATATTTAGTTTCGTTTTCATAGTTTTTGTTTTTTAAAAACTTTTCGTAGAGCTTTTTTTTTTTTGTGATGATTTTAAAAGACTTTTAGTCATCCAATAAATATAGATGTTTTTTAGAGGTTTAAAATTCGAGTTATTCACTTATCTACTTTTTTATACGTCAACGAGTTGTGAATAAATATGCATACGCCTCCGCCAATACCGTTTTTTCTCGGTTGGTGAACAGACTTGTAAGCTGTTAAATGCAAATTAGAGTTACTCATACCTCCACTCTGACACCAGGTTTCTGTAAGACAGATTATACTGAATTTAAAACTTATATTATTTAGCATTAATTTTAGATTTTCAAAGTTTTTGCTTATGCTTCTAATATCTATATTTAGTAATGACATGTAATGTAGTGATTTATTTAAAATACTTGTAACCTCATCAACTTTAAAATAGTTAGTTTCTAAGGAATAGTTGTCAAGAATGTTTACGTCAGGATTCATGTTCTTTGAAAAATGACATACGTTTTCACCAGAAGTCGTATTAAAAAATTATAATTAATTGTTTCCG